AAAGGAAAAATTGGGGAAGATGGGGGGGAGGGAGACAAAGATGAGATAGTGGAAGAATGGGAGAGAAGGGAAGGGGCAGAGAGTCAAGACACAACCGGGTATCTTCTCTAGTTCATATTTACAAAATGGAATGACTGTTCTTCTGTCCAAAGTTGGAGGCTAGATGCTTAGGGCTAGTCTCATTCACTTTTGCTGAGTATTAGAAAACTGTCATAAGCGGGTTAGGGCTGATCCCATTGAATTTAAGGGTGGTTTGGCTCCCATGGCGTTCCAAATTACGTCTGTGGAAATAAAATGGTTGTCGCTGAATCCATAGTTTCCATGATATGTTCATAATATCACAGGATTCAGATATTGACATGCAAACCGAACGTTCTGATGGCAGATTTGCATTATGAGACACAACACTTAAATAGCACAAACGTTTGGGGACTCCTATCTAGTAGAGTAGGCACGGGACAACGTTTGAAGGTAATTGTTAGTAGACGAGTGTGGAGGGTATGGTCTATAAACCGCTTGCTGTAGTCGATCAGACTCGTACTTTGACACTGGTAATAATTATATCTGAATTTAATTCATATAGCTTGGGGCTAATATTTATATTAAATCTAGCAATAATCTTGATATAATGGTTCTGAAATCATTGAGGGTAAAGGTTCAAGAAAAGGACAACTGTAGTGACTAAGTTTACAGTGTCTGTAGGTTTAAGATTCCTTAAGGCTTGAATAGCTGTTTTCGAGTCGGCGTTCATCATTATACAGGTATTATTGTGATGATTATCTTATGGATGCTCAAGAGTTACAAACTCTCTTGAAGCCTGGAAGAGCTTTGCAAAAGGCTTTTTGGAGAGCTAGTAATTTGAATACGAACCTGGGTCTGTGTTCTTGTCTCGAGTAGTCTTTTTCATATGTTAATACTCGAAATTACCTTCATTTGACAATTTACGCATGTCTGAATCACGAGTTTGTAATTTTGTAGCTGGCATGCCCGCACGCACACGCGCACGACATCTTACTCCACCTCTGTTATATACTCCATGGCTACACCTAAATTGTATTCACTTCTACCGTGTCTTCGAAAATGTGTGCTACATTTGTTACATTTTTCTTCACTTGAGAAGGAAGTTAAGACATTGAAGATTCTTTCTAGAATCATTGATCTCAACTTTGCTGTCATATTAAGTAACACACACACGTGTGTGTGTGTTAGTTATTGAATATGACAGCAATATTTTATGTATAATATTCTTTTGGTAAAAATATAAAAATAAACGATATTTAGTCCTTTATCTTGCCCTGAGATGTATGTATAACACACACACACACACACACACACACACACACACACACACACACACACACACACCGGAGAGAGAATACAAAGAAACAGCACCATATTACTTTTCCTATTGAAGTGTCAATACACCAGCGACATTTTTTCAAAGATACCGACCAGTATCATTCTAACGAGGTTTAGACATTACACTGCAGTATTTAGAATTTATAGTCGCCATGCTTGAGTGCTTTTTGTCGAGCAAGCAGATATATTCTGCAACATTCACTACCGGTTGAACAAAGACGCCACGGCCCTGCTCCGTCCTCATCACACGCGATGTTCAAAGCGTGTGCTCTAAGTCTGAAGTGCAGCAAAAATGACCCCATCAGCCCATGTTCAATTTTGAACTGAACTGCTTTGTGATCTTCAGCGCTGAAAAACAATATAGTTGTTCATTTAGTCTCTATGTATTTCTTATTTCACGTACATGATTATCTGTCAACCTAACGTTTACTTCCTTAGTAATTATCTATTTCGTCTCTTGGGAGATAGTCTAGGAAAACATTGTAGCAAGGACAGATCAGACGAGGGTTGTGACTAGACTAGGAAAATGCTGTAGCAAGTTGGAGCTGGAGAAGAGATGGCATGCCATTAACGCCTCAGAGAGCGGCCACTGGTGGCCTGCCCCCACTGCACCTGTGTTGTCAGCTGGCTACGACACCTCGCCAGGCTTCCTAGTAAGGAACTTCGCTTCGTAAGATTGTATCACGGTGACAGTGGCAGTCCAGAGGGAACCAGGATGTGTGTGTGACTACTCGAGCCACGCAAACCGTGGAAGATTATTAGCTAAGTAATCTTTCGTCATATTCTGCTGGCCTAGATCAAATTGGTAATGTTCTGGCCGTCATGCTACCCGCAAAGGAATCCTGGCTTGAATCTTTTATTTATTAATTTTAGTGATTATAATTTAATATTTACAAGAACAATGGGTTAATTTTTTTTTAATTTGATTCAGTAGTACATTTTCGCAATGTCACCGACACGGCGCGTTGGGCTAGTCTTAAAGTTAACAAAGCCATAACGTTCATAATTGAGAATTTGCAGCGATTTGTAAATTCCAAAGTGAGCAGTCAGTTATAAAGTATTAAAACTATTGACCAAGGTATACATTGATAATTTACATCCCCCAAAGAAGAGTTGGTTAATATTGAGGTATATGACTTTCGAAGTTTAAATAGCGGATGAGAATGTATAGAGCATGTTTCTTATTCATTGTTTACCATATTTAAAGAGTGTGGTTGCGGGGCAAGAGAAGGTGAAGGCCGTGTCATAAGCAAATAGTATAAGTTTGAGAAGATTGTAAACATTTGGCAAGTCACTGATGTATACAATATGTACAAGGTAGGCAAGGTGTGACTGTGCTACAATAAGTGAGACTCCTGCGAGTAACAGGAGAGGATGTTATTGATGGTGTTGGTGTCTGGTGTTGGCAGACAGTCAACTCTAGTTGTGAGAGACGTCTTCAAGTGCGTAGTGTGCTAACTAGTGTTAGTAGGAAGTTATTGTAGTTTACTGTATCTAACCAAGGCTTTTCTTAGGTCAATGAAGAGGTCTATATTGGGAATATATTTTTGCCATGTGCTGAAATATATTTTAAAGTAAACCAATCCATAATTGGTAGTCTTATATGAGCACTACTTTTTACAATCTTTTCAAATATTTGCTTTATAATTTTGGTAGATTTTATATCTGTCTGTAATTGTCTGCCAGCTGTATCACCTCACTTTTACACTGCATGATGTTGTTTTAGATTTAGCTACTCGGATCGAAATGTCCATGTAAAACGTTTTTTTTTCTCTCTCTCCCTGCAGTTACTCATGATTTTTATACAAATAATTCATTATAATAATAATTTGTGTGGTGGACAGGAAGCCAGTGTGTGTTCACTAACGTTAGGCTTTTATCGAGTCGTCCCCCCCCCCACAAGACCTCAATAAAAGTCGAATTACTGACCCCTCCCAGGATGCAACCCCACAAGAAGCTGACTAACTCCTAAGTACCTACTTAATGCTAAGTGAATAGAGGCATTAGGTGACAGGAAATGTGCCCAGCCATTTCTGTCCCGCCCGGGATTCGACCCCGGAATTCTCGATTGTGCGTCGAAAACTAACCCGATTGTACGCACCAATTGTACCCGAATTTGGTTCCCGGACTACACTTTTTTTTCCAACACGTTGAAATAGGTACCTAGGAGTTAAGCAACTGTTGTGGGCGGCATCCTGGAGGTCAATCGTTGGCCTAGCCCCAGAATGGGGAGGACCTCAAGGAGCCTATTAAGTGTTCCTGTCCGGCAATGGGGAAAGTAAAGAAGAAATATTTATTGAACGTCGCCGTTGATATTCCTAGTGGAAGAAACTTAGTCTGCCATGGCAGAAAATTACGTTTTCTGTTATGAGGGAGAGGAAAATGGTAGTGGCAAGTGAGCGGGGCCATAGTTAACGGCAGCTAACCTGTATAGTTCATGTGGTAGGGGTCAGGCAGCCTGCATTCAGGCTTATCCAGGTGGTCCCCTATGCCACCTGGATAAGTGGCATAGGGGACCATACATAATATGCCATCTATGCTATGACCTTCCTCAGGATGCAACCTAGAATTGTTTAACTCCCGGAGACTTATTTTACTTCTTGGACACACCGGGGGAAAGAAAATGTACCCAATCGTTTCTGTTTTACTTATTTATTTGTTTGTTTGTTTATTTATATACAAGAAGATACATTGGGTTGTTGAGGATACATAGCATGGTATTTACATTCTTGTAAAGCCACTAGTACGCGCAGCGTTTCGGGCAGAATTTATTAACTAAGGGACACCGTCTGTAATGGTCTCGACGGGGAATAGTAAGCTAGCAGCTTGTCATACTAGTAAAATCTAATTTGTTCAGTATTTTAAAGGCCTGGATGAGATGAGCCTTGTGATGTGTGGTTTAGCAGTGTTATTATTACCGAGAGCTTATAACCCCTCCTGGTCAGAGATGAAGTAGTTATAGGAGGAGTTTTGTCACTTTATTTTGAACTTCATAGCAGATTTCCTTTTGAAGGTGAGATCATACATAGATTCAATAGACCCAAGTGGGAATGTACCAGAAATTTGTACAGCTGAATTAATACTTGTTTTCTTGATCACTCCTTAGATATGGTTGGCTCATATTACTGCAACTCCTAATTGTCGGTCAACTGTCAATCACTCACCGCTGCCCGCTGGCAGAGCTAAACTAAACACAAAAAACTGGAACTTCTAGGTTCTTTCTTTCGTCAATTTGCTGCATGATCCTGATATTTGTTAATATTTTGTTTATAAAATTACGTGGATATGACTACAGGGTAAATTGTGGGAAATTATTACAGGATAAATCTTGCTGGTTTGTTTTAGTAAACTGTTATGATGATTGCTGTAACAATCCTGCGGTTGCTAGGACTGAAGCCGAACATCAGAGCAGTGTGTCATTGTAGCGCAAGTAATATGAATAAGAATGAAAAGAGACAACTTTGTAACACGGTCAACCTGACAACATCGCGCGAATCTCTTTATCTGGCTGCCGTATACACCGAATTAAAATAGTCATGAACGTGAGCATAATATTTAAGCTTGAAATATCTGTAAAGTGTCGCTCCCTCATCTGGTACAAATAGTTTATTTTCCTTTACAATTGTTATTCTTTTTGGCAGGATGTTGTGTGGCATGATCAAGCATGCCTTGCTGGCGGTGTGTGTGCTGACATACGCATGGGCCTGGGCGCACGAGGGCCCCAGGAACCCATGCGCCCTCCAGATAGTGCGTGGGGGCAAGCCTGGCACAACTCTCCATCACCATCTTTACGCCAACGTACTCAACGTGCCGTGAGTATTCATACCTCTCTGTTGACACTATTATGCCGCCGGCTATTCGTAACCCAGGAGCTTCGCAGCTGATTGAGGTGCATAATAACCAGGGGAGAGGGGAATAGTAAACAGAGGGCACTGTAGCAAGCGGAAGGAAAGTCACACAAGCAGGAAGTACTGTAGCTTAGAGAGGGCACAATAAGATTACCAGAGGCACGATATAGAAGGGAGGTACACATAACCAGTTGTGGGGATATCACATCCGCACAGTAAAATCATTGTGTACATACACCGAAAAGCTGGGTATACATTTTCGTGTATATACCTCTTGTATATACATATGAATATACATATGGGCTTAGATTTGATATATTTTTTTATATGTATTTAGTATATGGGCTTCAGATTCCTTGCTTGAGCGGGAATATCTTGTTTACAGGTACTGAGCAACACGAGGATAGATATGCTTAGTGATTTTTTTTCCTAACTGGAAACCCACTGAATTAAAAAAAATAAAAGGAGAGTGACTACAAGGTTGTATACCCCAAGGTTATACACTGCAGCTCTCATTGAATCTCACTTTGTTCTGTAGTTTGGTCTCATAATCCCGCCCTCTGAAACACTTGCACGTTGAAAAATTCAACTGTAATAAAAGTCGGCATTTGCCAATTACATTAAACAAAATTACTCTCTATTGTCTTGAGTTAGTTTTAACATACTTTTTCTGACACTGTCACGAGTGTTTCAATAACACAGGAAGTTTTCTTCTGGTTCAAAAGTTATAACTTCTCATTTAAACCAGCTCCCATTCTATTGGAATTCATGATGCAATTTAGAAAACGATATTCGTCTCATCTCTTCATCAGTCGTCACTATTGACATGGAATATAATCCTCGGAGAGTATGGGTGTATGTGGTGTATGTTCCCTTCTTGCTCTCAGGGACGGCGATGGTGTAAACTACGCCCCTCTTGCTCTCAGCCACTGTGCCCCTTGCTAATCTTAAAATAGTGGCTCTGTGAGAATTTAATTTGTCCTTGAAGCGTCTTTAACATGTTATAGAGAAAAGTTTACATTTTCACTATTGTTGACCGTCCAAGCATCAATGAGTTGGTAACATTTGCTTTAGTAAATTCTAAACAACAAAAGTCTTGGCAAAAAAAATACTACTGCATAGAGTTTTTAACAAATATAGGATGAAAAGCGTGTATTTTTTATAGGATATCGGAGGAAAGTTATTTTTTATGTCATCTGTAGAGAGGAGTATTTGTCCCACATGTGCAGGCTGAGGATTACAATAATAATGGCTGACATTTCAACAGTGTTCCCGGCACGGTGTGTGTGACCTACGCTGATGTTGACGCTGCGCTCTACTCCGCCTCCACACGAATAGGTAAATACACCATGTTAGTACGGCCCAAGCCCTGTGTGCGTGTGTGTACTCGCCTAATTGTGCTTGCGGGGATTGAGCTCTGGCTCTTTGGTCCCGCCTCTCAACCGTCAATCAACTGATGTACAGATTCCTGAGCCTACTGGGCTCTATCATATCTACATTTGAAACTGTGTATGGAGTCAGCCTCCATCACATCACTTCCTAGTGCATTCCATTTACTAACTACTCTGACACTGAAAGTTCTTTCTAATGTCTGTGGCTCATTTGGGTACTCGACTTCCACCTGTGTCCCCTTGTGCGTGTGCCACCCGTGTTAAATAATCCATCCTTGTCCACCCTGTCAATTCCCCTGAGAATTTTGTATGTGGTAATCATGTCTCCCCTAGCTCTTCTGTCTTCCAGCGACGTGAGGTGCAGTTCACGTAGTCTGTCCTCATAACTCATGCCTCTTAGTTCTGGGACTAGCCTAGTGGCATACCTCTGAACTTTTTCCAGCTTCGTCTTTTGCTTGACTAGATACGTGTGTGTGTGTGTGTAAAACGTGTGTTGTCATGCAGTGATCATGAGAAGACTTGCCTGCATTGCTTACATTAGTTCACCAGAGGTTAACAGGTAAAGAAAACTCTGCTAGAGTTTGAAGTATTTTGTTTTAGTATTGTCTCTAACAATATATTATATATTATATATATATATATATATATAATATATGCGGAAAATCCACAGAGAAATATGAAATGAGGTGAACGTTTCGGCTTGTTAAAGCCTTTGTCAACACCAGACTGACTAGTCAGTCTGATGTTGACAAAGGCTTTAACAAGCCGAAACGTTCACCTCATTTCATATTTCTCTGTGGATTTTCCGCATAAAATGATCAGTGTTTTGTGATCGTCAATTGCATATATATATATATATATATATATATATATATATATATATATATATATATATATATATATATATATATATATATATATATATATATATATATATATATATATATATATATATATATAATATATATTATATATATATATAATTATAATATGAATAATACTAGTAGTAGATTTAATAACATTATAATAAGATTAAGACAAGTCACAGTATGTAATATATCATTGAGAAAGTCACTTGGAGCAATGCGGGGATTTGAAGCTGCATTCTATGACCCTCAGACGTTTACCTTAACCCATACGGCCATGATAGTGGGTTAAGGCGAGCGTCTTGGGGGTCACTAGTACGCTGGTTCAAATCCCCTATATTGCTCCACATAATTTTATCATATGATTATTAATTTCTCAGTAAATACTATTATTAATGTGATTAAAATAACTATAATAATCAAACAATAAAAATAATTATAACTGTTTATAATGTAGATAAGGTCTAGCATGGTGTCCATGCTAGAAACTAGTCTGTATAATATAAATTCTTCATCCACATTTGGTAGATTTAAAGATTGCGAGTCTTGGGCCAGCTCTGTACACTTAATTTTGTGTGCTCCATCTTTAATACGTGTGCAATAAAAACAACTGCAAAATAGTTATTTTTGTTGTTGATTTGCTCATTTGTTTACCCGACACTTTGCGTTAATAACCTCGGTGTTGAGACACGAGAGATGTAACACGTAATATACAGTATGAGGTTTCTCGTTGACTGACCACGAACTGACCCTCCCCAGCTGTCAGCCCCCCTCAGAGAGGAGAGTGGAGGCCCACCGAGCTGGCACGCGTCGGAGAACTCATCCTCGAGACGTCGAAGATCATCGCAGCACAGTAAGTAGTTTTTCCTGACCATTCATATTTAAATAAGAGTAGATGATTCTGCAGAAATCCTCTATTGGCGAGGCAGGTTGTGTCTATACCAAATCAAACTCTCATGAGTATGAGTGAGGAGAGGAAGTCTCATACCAGTCATTTATACCTGACCCCGCCTAGGCCAATAGGCTTGTATATATGGACTTATTAGTGAATACTTATATATATATATATATAATATAGATAATATATATAAAATGATAGTCAAAACTTAACCAAAAAAAACAGTAAAAGTTCACCATAAAAATAAACATAAGTTAAACATTCGTAATGAACCGATTTCAAATGACGCCAAGCTTAGCGGGCTCCACACCAAGCTTAGCAACACACCAAATATGGTGTGTGTTGCAGAAGTGTGCGGTTTGTAGTCCTACATCAGCAAGCTTCACCACTCGGTGACGTTACGGGATCACTAGAGCCCGTGCTACATAAACATTTCATTCTGAGTAACTCTAAAGCAACAACAACAACAACTCGATGATTCCTTAAGACAATAACCAGTGTTAGTCAACACTTGACGTGTCCCACATTCCGTCACCACTACGGTGAGATGCTCTTGTGCTCGCTCAGGTCCTCCTTCATCCTCTTACTGCCGCTTTAATCTTGCTTCAAAGGTTCATTATCTGGTCTCCTTTAAGCTTTCTCTTACTTGGAAATTCGTGCACGTTTGTTGTTATTATCGTTCCTGTAATTAAGACAGTCTTCGTGGTCTTATGAAAGTAGAACACATTCCATCTGCAAACCCTTGTGCAGAAATTATCGTTGTATATGTACACTTGTCACGCAGTAAGAGGCGGCTGTCATCGTACGCAGTACTGAACATTCATTGTACAATACAAGTAAACAACTCTCAGAATGTGACGCCAACCTTAAATACAGGTTTCTTGTCCCCGACAGGAAACCGTATCATAAGTTCTTTCCCAAGCGTCGATACTTTTACACGATTTTCTTTTACGATCATCTGACTGTTACACTTTTTCTCAGGGTGTCTTGAGGCCGGCGCGCTCTCTCTCCCACCCAAACACTAAGTTGTGTAGACCTTTTTTTAAAAGTAGATGTCAGTTATAGCCCCGCTCCTGCGCCAGGTAAGGCCGCTACGGGCTCACCATAGCCTGTGCTTCTTGGAGCTTTTTGTTCCAAGTAACTATTTAACTCCCAGGCACCTACTTACTGCTAGTTGAACAGGAACATTAGGGTGAGCGAAACTTCCCGTTTTCGAAACTTCTGCCTCGGCCGGGAATCGAACGTGAGCCCTTAGGACTATGACCCACGAGTGCTGTCCACTCAGCCGCCGCAATTACTATTACCTTGACTCATTCACTCACTGACATGTGATTGGTTACCACTTGTTTGTTCAGAGTAGCTGAATCTAAAACAAGAAGAAGAAGAAGTGTCTCAGGCTGTGCCGTTACCACTTTTACCATGTCGAGGCACAGTCGATTAAGGCGCGTCTGGGATCCTCTAGGACGTAGGTTCGAACCTTCATCACGGCCCTTGTGGATTTGTTCTAAACCGCTATCTCAAATCTCTCTGGTCTGAGACTCTACCATTCAACTATTATATGACCAAAACTACCTCGTGCCTCGAGGTTGTTTTGTTAAATGAGAACAGCCTCGTGCTGTTCTCATTTTACAGATATAGTATATAAACTCTTATAGTTGAATTATATCATCAAAAGAAAATGGAAGATCACTTCGATTTGTATTCAGGGGAAGCAGTTATAAAATGTTTTATATAAAGGAGGGATTTCTGCCTTTCTAGAATGACACATTTCATTGTGTAATAATGCACCCTGCTGTCTCTAGCCATTTATCTTGGTGTGTGCTACGTGAAAAAAAGTAGAACACGCACCATTAAACTGAATGGATAAGAAAAGTGACAGCACTGAGGCGAGGTGTGAGTGGGTGGTGGAGAGAGAAGCTGGGTGTGTGTGTGAACAACCTTGTGGCAGCCTCGTGCTGGCTCTTGCCACACCTGTCGTTATAGTTGTGGTCACTACGTCTGTGTTTACTATCTGTGCCTGCAGAATCGCGCTATTAGCTCTTAGATTCTAACTAATCTATTTTTTCCTCTATATTGTCTCTTATTATAGATACTACACATTTCTCTCTTAACTCACGCGCACACACCCCTAGAAGCGAGGCGGGCTGCAGTCTAACAGCTGTCTAACTCCCAAGTACCTATTTACTGCTAAATGAACAGGAGCATCATGGTGAAAGAAACATGCCTATTTGTTTCCGCCTCCGCCGGGAGTCGAACCCGGGCCATTAAGACTACGAGCCCCCACGCGTTATCCACTCAGTCCCGAGTCCGCGTGTGTGTGTGTGTGAGCGCGCAAGCAAGCAAGCAAGCAAGCACACACGCAGAAAACCACTTTAAACTAGAAAACCTGAATATCGGCGCCTTTTCGTCATGGTTGAGTTAGTGAGTCAAGGCGCCTTTCACGCAACACTTTGACAGTGTTTGCTCCGCCACGCTCTTCGGCGCCATGCTTAAAACAATTTGTGTGCTATCTTGTCCAAACTTAACGCGTGTATTTTTTGTGAAACGAAAAGTGATTAGCGGTGAAGAATTAGTACCTATTTCAGTAGAATGAAAAAAATAGAATCAATTATATTTAAATAATTGTATAATAAAATCTTTATTAAAATCAATACTTATATACCAACATCAATAATTGTCATATAATCAATAATTAGATTTTATAATTAATTATAATCTCAAGCGGGTTAGACAGACTTGGAAAATTGTATTTATTTTTGTTCATTTTGTTCTCCAAGAGTCTTAAGAATCGTGTTCCGACTCTGTTTATGGTAATGGTTATGTCTGAGGAGGAGGAGAGGAAAAGTTGGCACTCGTATAGATAGTATTTCTGAAGATAGGGAGAGAGAGACAACCAATAATAAAAATAAAGTAAGTTAGCAGGGGGTGCATGTTTAATCTGTTACGGCGACTGTGTGTTCCTTGACTTCAAACATATGTTAAATCACCTATAACCTATACTGTGTGTGAAGAAATCATTTATAACCTACATATAGTGTGGATGAAAAAACACTTATAACCTACATATTATGTGTGAGGAAATTAAATTGTATCTGACCTAGTCCTAACTATGTATAAACCCATAACACAATATTAATTTGTATTTACAAAATACCGCTTTGAATGCAAGATAAAAATCCATCTTCTTAATCGGGTGCCAGATGTATTAGTAAAATGCATAGTCATTATTATTATTGCCATTTAAAATTTGTATACCAGTTACATCGTCCTTAAGACGGTTTGCCAATGGATTTTATAGCTTATGTAACCTTACCCATCCCAACCCAACCTGGTACAGTATTCGGCTTTGACAATTAAGAGGAGCGTTGTCGAATCATCTAGCGGTTCGACCATAGCTGATATTTCATTATATTTCACTGATATTTCAATGTTTATTTGACTAGAGCTGATATTTCCTCTGGACGATGACGCAATACTGCTGGGGATTCTCCCAGTATCAGGTCACGGAAGCACATCCCGGAAGTGGAGATGACACCTTCAAGTTTCGTCAAAATTGTCTGATCACCCCCAAATTGTTTACTTTAAACTCAGGAATAGACTAAAATAATTCTATACCGTTTTGATAAACCTTGGTAAGCGAGAAGGAATGCGAAGTCTTTTCAGATTTCTTCGGAATTCAAGACTATTCATTGGGAGATTGGATTTAATGAGCCAAGTTGTATAAGGACGTCAAAAGCTAAAATAAAACAATCGACCTCCTTAGATGAAATGACCTTCACAGCGGGGATTGTTATTTTCCACAAATCCCGCTTCCCAGAGTAGTAACCAAAAAGGTCAAATACCAGCCTATATACGGGAGATACCGACGACATTACACCACTATCAATAACGGCCTTTCGACACAAGTTTAGAATTAAATTCGTGGTTTTGAAGGATAATTTGTTTATTTACATAAATCATTCGTAATTAAAAAGTACGATTTGAAACAATGTGTTTGTGTCATTGGACAGGTACGGATTAACAGCGGCGGAAGTGACATATAACTTGCCACTACTGGACACCACCAAGACGGCCGTGGCTAACGTGTGCCCGCGCTTCGCCTCGCCCATGACCTGCACCCCTGGCAAGTATCGCAGATATGACGGCCTCTGCAACAACCTCTACAACCCTACCTGGGGCGCCGTCAATGCTGTTTTCGCCAGGTGAGTACTGTACCTGCACGTCTCTATAACTAATGCCCGGCTTTGTCACGAAGACTAGCTTGAATACTAACTAATCTCTATATTTGTTTTTGTAAATATGTCTGTGATTGGCGTGAATTCATTTTTGAATCTACATTCTATCTATTTTTATATTTATCTAATAAATATTTAATATTTATTAAACATTCAACTTGGAAGAAGCAAGCGAAGTTATTCTGCACTTATAGGGTGTAGGTTACCTTGCCTTACCTTGAGGTGATTCCGGGGCTTAGGGGCCCGGTCGTCGACCAGGCCTCCTCGTTGCTGGACTGGTCAACCAGGCTGTTGGATGCGGCTGCTCGCAGCCTGACAAGAGTCACAGCCTGGTTGATCAGGTATCCTTTGTTGCGCACACGCACTAATTTTTTCTGCTTTAAATCCACCGTTATTCTTGTTCTAGCGTAGTTCACGATCCCCACTCCACTCCTACCTCAAGGGGGCAATTGATAGTATGTCCCCCATGGGTATCCAGTAGTGCTCGTTCACTTACCTTTCATTGTTTATTTTTAGTCCTACATTACTACCATTTGTAAATCAGAGTCTGCATGGACAGGAGCACCCGACGTAAACAGCAGGACAGCTCTAGGGTTTACATAAACGTTGAAATTAAGACTGTCCGCACAGATGCTCTTCACACTATGGTTGTGGAACTTTTAACTGGTCGAGGTGTGACTAGCAGTGTGTCCGCCTTTGTGTGTTACTATATACAGTAGGCTCCAGATTTATTCAGAACCTTCATATAATGTAACAGTCGATTTTTGCTAACAAAAAGGGTGTAGCTTTAATAAATAATCATTTTGTTTTAAAGTAATTTGTTTAGAATCTTGTAGATTTCTGATGTAAGTTGTTAGGGTTTAACTATCAGATGATAGGCCGACTGGTTATTGAGAGAAGAGAGCAGGTGACAATTAGAATTATCTGTCGGCAGGTTTCTCCCTCCGGACTATGCGGACGGCATCAGCGCCCCAAGAGTGGCCCTGGACGGCTCTCCCCTGCCCAACGCTCGTAAAGTCTCTGCATTGATCCATCGCGACGACGGCTTCCATGACCACGCCGCCACCCTTATGCTCATTGCCTGGGGCCAGCTCATGGACCACGACTTTACCCTCACCGCTACTGCGCTAGGTACCTCCCTTCCTCACACCCATCACCCTCCAGCCCCTATAATCAACCAGTTAAACTCGTCATGACTAAGTTTAATCAGTCGTTTTAATCTGAGTAGTTTAATAAAAAAAAAATAATCAGTTTAATCTGAGTAGATACCTTGTATACAATATACGGTTTTAACAGAAAACTAACTTTGTTGAATCGTCTTGTCAACTATTTGACCACACCCCCTCCCCCCCCTCATAAAACCTAAACCCATGCAAAGCAGTGTTAAACAAGGCAGAACATTAATTTATCAGCCTGGAGGCTTTATTTCTATCTCTGACTGATTGGTGTAATGTCTTCACATGACCGGGTATTTAAACTGTAGTAGCTATTAAGTTATTTTTGTTGTTATTTCTTTACACAAGATTACCAATCATGTGGTATTTTTTGCTAATCTTTCTTTTCTGCAAATGTTCTCAGTGTTTAAAATGTATGCGAGGTTTGTTCATGGTACATAGAGCCTATTATCACCTCTCAGGAGATAAACATTGTGTATTTAGCATCCATCATGCACCACGTTTTGCAGTACTGATACCACACTGTCAAATAGTTTCGTGTCGGAAACGACCATACCCCAACCATGAGTAGCCAGAGCAGAAACCATCCACTTTTATGTATAAGCAATAGGTACCATACACTCTAACCTATATATAGCAAGTAGTTACCATACACTCCACCCTGTATATCCAATAAGCGCTGTCATCAAGTGACCTTGTATAGAACATGTCAGATACATAAGCCATACTAAGACAAGCTGTGTGGCCTGACCCACAACAGATCGTCGGACCCGCAACGAGCTGGAGGAGTGTTGCAACCGTCCGCCCCACGCCAAGAACCCCTACTGTATGGAGATCACCGTCCCTCACGACGACCCCTTCTACAGGCTCTTCAAGTTCACCTGTATAGATTTCGTTAGGGGCTTCCCAGGCGTTAAACAGAACTGTAAATTAGGTGAGAAACCGAACACGTTTTGCTGTTTATTTCATGTACTTGATTTACGCTACCACTAAATAATATGTTCAAGTATACCTTGAAATGAAGATATACGAAATTATATTTTTTAATTGGAGGATGTCGAGATAGTTGAGCGTGACCTCGGTTATCTCCTCCTGCAGGTCCACTCTCACAGTTTAATCTCCTGACTGCCGTGATTGATGGCAACACAGTGTATGGAGGCAGTGCGGAAGCTGCCAGGTAAATCCATATATTTAAATATTTGTTTACTATTTAAAGATTAGGGGTGTAATTCATTATTCTTATTAAGAATGGTGTGTGTGTTTTTGTTCACCCATTTGTAATGACCTAAATATGGGTGCAGGATGGAGCTATTAACACCAGGACTCTGTCTTCCCATCCCTCGGTTGTCTCCATATATCATGAAGACGTAACGGCAGGATTTGCCTCAAGAAATTGAGCATTTATGATCTATGAAATTGCCATGACACTAGCCTATTACCGCACCCCAAAGCATTTTCATTTATTGATTTAGTTTGTATTATGTATCCCATACCCACCTCGTGGGTGGTAATGGAACAGGTTACAGAGACTCATAAATGGCTCTAGAACATAACCCCCAAATTTATTTAGCTAAGTAAGTTACAATTTAATGTAGACATCAACAGATTTTTTAACAACACAATCTCTTAACGTGAGATTTTGCTGGCATCTCTCACTGGTGTATTGTCATGTGATTTGTTGTGTTGACAGGGAGCTTCGTGCTGGGGTTGGAGGCCTCCTGCACCACCACGACTCCTTCCCAGGTCTCCCGCTCAAGCATCTCCTACCACTCAAGAATGACATCCCTGATGAAGGCTGCATCCGTTCGACTGGCTCCCAGAGGTGCTTCCTCGCAGGTGGGTACAAGGTGTACACCAGGCCAATATTCGTTACATTACAAACATTACATCCTCACTTGGCTAATCTGCCCATCTTGCTTCATTCATGGTGGCTTAGTTTACACTTATTAAATAATGTAATAGCTGCAAGGCACTACAACGTTGTCAATAACAAACCTTGGGTTTTGAAATTTGTAAGTTCTTAAATTGTTTAATACAGGCTACACCGTGATCGAGGAAAGATGTACAGGTTTCGTAAGTGGACAAGTAAATGCTTGATGAATCCTGGCCGCCGGATATTAATCTCGGCTATTGTATTTGTGTGTCTCAGACTGATGGCAATAGTGTATCAAAAGCATTGGTGGAGGTGCAGCTGACGCGAATACCGTTGGTGAAAGTGGCAGCAGGGAATAAGAACTTTGTGGTTGTTAATAATAGGTGGTGATATGGTATTGTGTTGAACCAGTAAAGATGACGCCCTACCATTGTCTTAAATACCAGGAGTCCTGACCACTACAATGTAATTCATAAATTAGGTGGGAAAAGCTGAGCATTAACAGCATTAACGTTGTTTGGCTAGAATAAGTCATAGACGTCAGTAATCGCGGTCATGTGTTAATATTATTGGTGGCTAAAGCTAAACGGCAACCAAACGCAGCTTTTCCAAGATCTATATTTCTACTCACTGGTGTAAGTGGGTGTGACCAGTTTCTGCCAGTGTTGCCATGATCAGCTTTGTGTTGTCAGCAGTGTGATGCCGAGCGGAGTTTGGGGATGTTGCAAATAGGACCAGCTGTGTCTGTGAGTGTTTTCTGTGGTATAATGACCAACAGTGTTTGTGGGTGTTGAGGTGACCAAGATTGGTTGTGTTGCAGGTGAGATTCGTGTGAACGAGCAGCTGATCTTGACATGCGCCCACACCCTCATGATGAGAGAACACAACCGTGTCGCTGTCCAGCTCGCGGCCCTTAACCCGCACTGGGACGACGAGAGAATCTATCAGGTAGGTATTCATTCTTGTTAATCTATCACAACTAATGTTCACGCAATTATCCACTTGTCTACCACAACTAATGTTCACTTACTCATTGACATCACGTATCTACTACTAATTATTCACTCATTTAATCACTTATATATGGCCTATCGTTCACTCACTGATTCGCCTACATTTCTCCGTTCTTGTTCTGACATTGACTCGCGAACCTGGTCATCTCTTGACCCGAGTGTCGGTGCCTTGTCCTCCATACAACCGTTCATATGTCCAGTGTGGACATGATATCCAGGAGTGACGTTGGTTTGACGTTAATTCAACGTTGAATCAACCCTGATGACGTTCATTCAGCGATGAATTGGCGTTGCTCTTCGATATTCTCCACTGGGACTTATTGCATTATAGTTGCCTTCACGTTTCATTTTGACTGGCAAACGTCGTTGAGTAACACTAAATTAATATTGGTCCTCCGTTGGTCTAGTGTCGGTCCTACGATGACTACACCGGTCTAACAGAGGACCTACGTTGAAGCATTGTTGGTCCAACTTTACTTTAACATATTTTGCCCGCTGGTATTAACCACCTTGCCGTCAAGTTTGATGTGCGCCGTCTGGCCTTCCCCCTCAGGAAGCGCGGTGCATCGTGGTGGCGGAGATCCAGCACGTTACCTACAACGAGTTCCTGCCTCAGCTCCTGGGGAAGGATGTGATGCACCAGTTTGGAATTCTTCTGCAGAAGGAGGTTAGTTTGTTACAACCGTTGAAGATCGAGCCGTCTACCACTTTGGGCTCCTGTTATAGGTACAAGGCGTGTCGTACACAAGACGGTTGACTAACTGGTTTTAAAACCTACCTAAACTTGTCTCATCTTACCTGATGCCCAATGCCTTGTGTCCTGTATATCAGATACCCCATGCCTTGTTCCCTGTGTACCTGACGCCTTGTAATATTTTATTTGCAAAAAGATACAATGGGTTGGTGAGATTACATAAGATTAGTATTTTTACATTTATGCAGTCACTAACGCATAGCGTTTCGGGCGTTTGTATTATTTACTCCTTCCTTCCTTACCACTGGTCCCATTGTCTTTCTATATATGTCGGGTCTATCTCACCCTCGGCTACCTCCCCACAGGGCTACTGGGACGGCTACGACCCCAAAGTCGACCCCAGCATCTCTGCCTCCTTCTCCGCCGCCGCCTTCAGGTTTGGTCATTCCCTCCTGCCGTCTTCCGTCGAGCGCTGGAGTCCCACCCACAAGTTTATTGGTAAGAAGATGTACTTGTATGTAGCAAATGCTACTGTTAGAAGTTCAAATTGTATAACAAAATATATATTGTCTCAATCTGTAATTTATTATCTACAATTTGTACCTGCAGAACAGAGTTGTTAGCTCCTGAACCCTTACTTTCTAGCAATCAGTTGCCTGATGTACGGACGTCCGACCTATTTTTCCTCTATCATATCTATTACATATATTTTACACACAGGATGCAGCATGTTTGTTTGTTTATTTATTTATTTATTTATTTATATATATATATATACAATATTCGATTCGATTTATGAGAGTACATAGGATCGATGTTTTTACAATCGTATAAAGAAACTAACACGCATAGCGTTTCAGGCAGGTCCTTAATCTAACAGATCATTTTAAGTAGGTAATTTGTAGCAAAAGTGAAAAATATTAACAGGTACATTGTAAGAAAATTAGTAGGTTCATTATGTGGCAGCTATCTCGTTGGTCCCTATTTACTGCTAGGTGAACAGGAGCATAAAGTTAAAGAAACTGTCCATCTGTTTCTGCCTCGACCAGGAATTGAATGTGCCCTTGGGGCTAATATCCCAGAGGGCTGTCCGCTCGGCTTCAAGACCTGAGCAGCGGAGCTTCAGCTGTCCCTCTCTCTAGCTCAGCCGGTGCCTTCCTTCCCTCCAGCTCAGCTGGCCCTTCCCTCTCTCCAGCTCAGCTGGCTACAGAGAAGGTACTCTGTAGCCTGGCTATCTGTCAGTCTTGAGTTATCTTGTGACCTGGCACTGCGCGCTGTTCCATCTCAGTCATGTATGCCCCGTAGAAGCTGGCATGTAGTTCCTTACAAATTTCTTGTATGTTCTCCTACTTTTGCATAGTCTAATCACAATCCTTTTCTTTCGTATGTGTGTGTGTTTTTGATAATTACCTTTACATTGATTCATAGTGTTGGTTTTTCCATCAGTTTTAATTTTAACCATTAATATTGAAGTTGAAGTAATTATTCTATGCATTTCACTCGCAGCCTCGAAGCGTCTCCACGAATTGATCCGTCAGCCTTTCGACCTGTTCCGTCCCGGAGTGTTGGATGAGTACTTCATGGGCATGTTGAACCAGCCCAGCCAGGCCATGGACGACGGCATCACTCAAGAGGTACATTATCCCCCCTCCCCCTCACACCTGGGCTCCTGCCTCCCTTATACTTGTTTATCTTTATTTGTTAATAGAATTGAAGTTTTATTTTGTGATTTAGCACACAAAAAACATTATATTAAATATAAAATATGCATGGAATAGTTAAATTCATTTATTCACACGCTCTGCGTAATAGAAAAGAAACTTGAGAATTTGGATGAACTGTGATCTTTATTTGTATTTCAATACATGATCCATGTTGACGTTGTCACCTGTGATGACCTTGTGGCTTGTGTTGGGCATGACCTATGCGATACATATTTCCTACCAGACCTACAATGGCCTTCCAACCCATACTGACCCCTTCATCCTGTTCTTGTACCCAGGTCACCAACCACTTGTTCGAGAAGGAGAACCAACGGCATGGCTTCGACCTGGTGGCCTTCAACTTAGCGCGAGGTCGAGAGTTTGGCGTGCCGGGCTACGGAGCATGGAGGCAAGTCTCGTGCCTGTCACTCTCTTCCTCTCAGTCTCTGTAATAAAGTTGAACAGGACTCACTAAACATTCTCCCATGGCAGTATGCGTTATCACCAACAGATATTTGACATGGATTTAAAGTAAAAATATGACTTTTAGGTAAATTAAGTCAACTTTCTTTATATACAAGAAGGTACATTATGTTTGAGAGTACATAGTATTGTTTTACATTCTTGTAAAGCCACTAGCACGCATAGTATTCCGGGCAGGCATAGCTGTAATTATTATCGCGGTGTAAATGCGATAGCAGTTGTATTCCTTCAGATGGTGGTCATCAGTAGTAGGTTGAGTAACATCAGTAATAATGGTCGTACTAGTATCAGTGGTAGTAGAAACAGTAGTATAGAAACTTGTCTCACCTGAGCATCATTTTTTCCCTATAGGAGATTCTGCGGACTGGAGCCCATCCTGTCCTTCGAGGCTCTGGCTCACCTCATGACCAACAACACAGCCGCCATGTACGCCAGTGTCTACAAGTAAGGCATCAGTCACCTGTCTTAATCAGTCCTTGGCCAGTAAAATTCTTCACCATTATAACAATAGCTTTAGTGTAGACTCGTGTCCTCATGTGTTATAATACATTCCTTGAATTTATACATACAGTGGGTAAGAACCCGTGTAATTTATACACATAGGGGCAGTAATCATGTAATTTATACATATAAGGATAAAAATCGTGCAGCAGAAACTGTAGTGTTTGAATATTCTACACGATTTATAAATATCTATGAACGCGCACACACACACACCTGTACTGTATATGTGATTAGTAACAGTGGCTTGTATGAAGACAAATTAGGATACGTGTAGCCAGTTGTCTTAACTGGCTACACCCAGTAACCTACTGGGTGTAGTAATTACTACACCCAGTAGTTGTCTAACCCAGTAACGTGGATTACTAGAATATGAGGGCATGAAGCCTCTGGTACTAATGACGGATACAAATTACATCATACACAGGATGGTTCGCAAACTCGTAGAATATACCTAACTCAGTGTATTCTAACCCAAGCTAATACGTTCTAGCTTAATAGTATCTACAGTTTTGACATTCAAAAAGTGAGCTTTGTCGAACAGTCTTGTATACAAGACCCTACTTCCCTTGTAGGGCCTAGGAACACCACAGATTATGAATAGACAGTATGCCAGGTTATTTACTGTTACATTTTTATAGACTTTTTACACTATAAAAATAGGCTCTTCACAGCTGGCTATTTTATTAGTCATTCAAGCATCTCGATCTTCCTTTGTCTCGTGGAGAAAGTGAAACATTTATATAAAAATTGACTTTAGACTTTAGGTCCATATTTTTTAACCACAAAGTTTCATATTAAAAATTACTTAAGCAGTAGTTATGATAACACTGAAGTTTTAGGTGTTTGTCTCGTATAATGTCTACGAGACATCATGTTCTCTAATTATATTGTAAAGATAGTTCCTGTAACACAGCGCCGCCAGCCTATGTCCTCGATTCACAATCGAAGGACCTGGGTTCAATCCCCCGGGCAGGATAAACAGTTGAGCACACTGCCCCCCAATGCCGTTGTTCACCTAGCAGTTAAACACGTACCCGAGAGTTTGGCTATGGTAGTGGGTTGACCTATGGGTACCTCAATAGGCCTAGTGCAGACTTGTTGAACCAGACAACGGTAATTAAATTGCATACGTTTGATTTTTTGGTGACGAATAAGATGGAAAAGTGCCTACAACACCAACATTTGTTGTAAAACTGTTTGTGTTTTTCAGGTCAGTGGATGATATTGATCTGTGGAGCGCCGGAGTGTCCGAGCGGCCTCTCCCAGGCTCCCTCCTGGGGCCCACCTTTTCTTGTATTATCGCTACCCAAATGCAGCGGGTAAGGCGAGGTGACCGGTACTGGTACGAACTGCCCAACCAGCCCTCCTCCTTAACCCCTGGTAAGTCCCGTCTACCCTCCAACCACTTGGGCTGGACGGTTGAGCGAGTCTCGCTTCATGCAAGTCTGCGTTCAATCCCCAACCGTCCAAATGATTGGGCACCATTCCTCCCCCCCCCCCATCTTAATCCCTTCTAAGCATTATATAGTCAACCTGTCCAGCCCTTGGCACTTTCTCCTGATATTTTTTTATATTTTTCTCCTGATAGTTATCTTCCTTCTCAACCCTTGGCAAGTCCCTAGTCAGCCCTCCTCAACGCCTTTTAAGTCCCTAACCAGTATCCTTAACTCTGGCATGTCTAACTAACCTTCCTCTTACGTCAGAGTTACTATATCATTTGTGATCAACAGTTTTCTTGTTTGTCACTGTCTCAACAGTAAGAAATAAAAAATAAAATGTTTCACATAAGCGTTCGACAGCATTGTTTAGGAGTATAATAATTCTGACACGGGATGAGCAGGATCTGCACTCAATTACGTCTTTAATGTAAACCTAAACTATAATGGAATTCTTTACTTAATCCTTGCATTTAATGGAAAAAGACTTTATTAATGTTTCATCTGCACTTTACTTAATTTCCAGCAATTTATGCTCTGCTCAACTAATTCTTTCCTTGTAGTGAAAACACGAGAATGTGATACAGTATGATCTAGATTATATCCCATTGTTCCCTTTCTTACTGTTATAGAAATGTTGAACACCTAGTGTTATACAACACCTGTGCCATGTTCACCGGCCACGTTGTTAATGTTTGACTGTGGTGATGCTGCACAGCACCAACACCCTTCATTTGGTCTCATCTCTCACTTCGTGTGTCAAAATATACCATTATGATATTTGAATATGGATAAGGCATATACACTATTCTGATTTCTCTTTCACACACACATTCCTTACAGAAAACTTAAATTTAGTTTTAAGATTTAATATTCTTTAACATTATATTCTATGCCATATAATGCCAGAAGCTACTCTTTGTAACTTAATTGTAATGTTATGCTCTAATCAACTTACCAGACCAGCTGGAGTCCATACGTAAAGTTCGTCTAGCTCGAATCCTGTGTGACAACACTGACAACATCGATAGCCTTCAAGTGTACCCAATGGTCTTGCAAGACCCCCGCATGTGAGTACATCTGTTAGTTGTGTTCATTCATTATGCACCCCATACCCCAACCTATTTCTGGTAGTGGAAGCAGGTTATTTTGTATTAATAAGTATAGTCAGTAACATGATGGTTGTGTTTTTTTTTTAGACAGAACCGTCTGACTTGGCCTTGTAGCCATGAGTCGCTGCATCCTATTATGAGAATTGCAGGAATTTCAATATTGATATGTTTAAATGATTTTAAGTTATTTAAAATGAGTGGAATTTTACCAAAATTAAGCCGCACTGAGGAATAATCAACCTATTTAAGTTAGCTAATGTTACTAAGTTAGTTTTGATTCAAATGTTACTAAGTTAGTTTTGATTCAAAATATACAAATTGATAATGTCTAATTTATCTATTGGAATATAAAAAACATGTAATATTAATAAGGGGATTCAATTTTATCTTGTCTGCCTAAAAGCAGTGACCCCGAAGTGAAGGCCAGACACTCTGGGAGTTTAACAGGAAGCATTGCTTGTTCCCATTAGTAACCTTCAGGAATAGGTTCATGAATGTTATCTTTAGACATTACAGACTTACCTTACTTTTTTTTTAAGGTTTGGTCTGTCAAAGAGTGGGCACACGCTTTTAAATTTTTGTTAATCCTGTACAAACTCGAGCACTTGTGGGATAGTACACCACATCTTTGGAATCCAAATCACCTGTTTGTGTACCATCCTCTAAAGGCAATTTAGTTTTCGTTGGGAATTTCAGCAATTTCATTGGATTGCCCAACTGCCCCAAGCATTACATTGGAAAAGGGTGGTGGTTGGGGTTCCTGGTAAAGTAGATCTTCATTTATGATCAATTGAGTAGAAATCTGATCACACTTTGAAGGATTTGAGTACATGTCCCAACTCCTTTTCATGAGACTTCATCATGTGGCAATTATCTGGCCAGGAACTCTGGTGTACTTGCCAGAGTACAGTACTATTATCCAGAAACCAGATGTTAAGCTCACTGGCCATTTTTTTTTCAATTATATTTTATCTGAGCAATATATCTGTTCTTTGGGTTTGTTAAGGTTTCAGAACCAGAAACGTGACAAGTGGTTTGTTTAAAGTTCAAACATTTATCCAGATTGTATTGTGATTTAGCAGACTTGACACTTTAGTCTCCAGTTCGTATCAAATAAAATGGTAATTCTTACTTTCGTGCTACAGTCTGTGTAGCCGGCGGTGTTAGTGAGAGCTTGGGAGTTACAAGACGTTCACGGTAGCACATGCTCATTTATTATAACCATGAGCTAAATGTAATTCATTGACCTTTTTTTCTGTTCTGATGAATGCAGTAACCCACGAGTGTCCTGCAAGAGTGGCATTATCCCCCATATGGATCTAACGCCTTGGGTTGAACATCCACATGCTGCTCATCCACCTAAACAGGTTAGTAATCTCAACTCACTCCCACTCATAAAAGTGTGATATATATGTTGGAATTTTTGTTCTAGATTCCACTTATCTGACCACTAAACCTGGAAAGATAGCAACTTTTCAATGTGTACTATAAATTCTAAATGCGTGTATTTATTATGTTGAGATTTAAACTACGTATAGGAACTTATTAGGCACAAGGAACCAGTTAAGAGTTGGTTCCTGGTAATGCTTAGTTTAGGCCTGTAACTGGGTAATCAAACCAGTTAAACCTGTGGCTAGCTATTTTAAATTTATAAGGTTTCAGTACATGGCTACCTTATGTTAGGCTTGTGTCGAGCTACTGGAACTGGTTTTGTAGCTGTACTGGTTTGGTTTTGTGTATTAAACGTTGTCATCCTTCACATTATTAATGTAGTTTATTTGTTTATACCACGGTATTGTAGCTTTTATTCCGATATTTACTTCATTTAAAATACAATACTGCTCAGTACTGAAGGTCAGTAGTAATAACATGGCAGAATACTAAGGATCCAGTATTAATACAATACTGCAGAATATTAGACCCAATATTACACACAAACTACTGGGTAGTGCAGATAGCTGTGTTGCATAGGCTTTAGCCTAGAGCTTGGGGGTTGGATTTGGGAACTGCCAAAATTAGGTGCAAAAAAAATAAAATGCATGTTCTAAAAATCATTATTGTATTCTTTGGCAGAAGCGAGTAGAAATAATCATGTGAGAATTGGAATTAAAAATATAAATTTTGCAATGTTTTGGCTTGCAAAGTCATGAATAATTTCCAGAATAAAGTTCTCTCAAATGCTTTGTGCATCAAGGAAATGTAGTTCAACTTTCATTCTTAACCTCAGGTAGTTCTTGATTTTAGTGCTGACAAAATTCTCTCTCCTCACTGCAGTTGGATTCCATCAGACACAGGTTTCAGTATCGATTGCAGTTATACTTATGATTCAGTTCAAAGAACATATGAAGCTATTGTATATATATATATAATCTCCAAGGCTGGGCTTCAAATCTTTAGGATAGCAAGAAATTGGGTGACATGCAACCTGTTGCAGTTCCTCTTTCTCCAGGTGCTAAAGATTTGACAAGAAGCCATACTTTGTGCTCAACACTGAGTAAGCATCTATCCATGTACTCTAGGCACTACACAGCTGTTCAATGACAGGTAGAAAAACATTGGTGTGGAATGATTCATGTGCCTTGCAGCTCGGTACCGGTATAGGTCCATCATGAAACCAGTGTTGCACAGCACTTACATTTTCTCTCTCCCTTGTAGGTTGACAATGCCATTCTTTTCAAATTCATCAAATGCTGAATAGAATACCTTAGGCCTCCCAGAATCCAAATCTAAGGCACTGTGGTGATCTCAATCCGCCTCTGTTTCTGGGTACTGCTAGATCTAGTACCCAGTATTAATACCCTTAATTAGAAAGTAATACTGTACCTCGTGTAGCACTGACTTTTTGCAGTTAATCAATAATGAGTGATAATAAAAATTTTAGAATATTAAGAGTAAACTACAGTATTAAGTTATCAAGGAAAAAGTTTATCAAATATATATTAAAACCGTAGCTATATTTTTTTTAATTAATATGCTGGTACACAATATTCATTGTAATTTAACACTACAAAGTTTAAAACATTTGTCATATATTAACCGTTATTACCTTACATCTCCATAAACGATGAAGTTTCTATAAATACAAGAAGGAATTCTGTAACATTTATGTATTGTCACTGGAGATACAAACTCCAGTTTATAAATACACTCCTCATTGTATAAATGTTAATAACCTTGCTAACACTACAGTACATGAATTCCTATTCTCCACAGGTTTTGGCGGGCTCGAGCTTGAAGGCTGGAGTACCCAGAACTTTAGCGCACCACTCATTCTACTACTCTTTTGGACTCTTACCTTAAAGAAATATTACAACGGCCAGAATTACTCTACTAGTGCTATTGTATACAAATGTTTAGAAAAGAATAATAAGACTGGTTGGTGAAGTCTCGTCAGTGCAACTGTACACGAATCACAATAAGTGTTTATTTTCACTGAAATTCCCATTGAATGGATCACCGACACCACAGCAAAATACCATTGCCTCTACACTTTCATTAACTCCCATACCTGTCATATACCTCTCATAACATACGTCAACCTAACCAACAACTTTAGTTTTAATGCAATGGTCAGACGAATAATTTATTTAATGTAAAAAAAAAGTTTTTTTTTTCCCTGTTCTATTCTTAGTTGTTAATTTGTCATTGTTAAATCAAGGACACGCACAACAACTGATTCCTCTTTGCCACCTTCAATTATTGTACAGCATAGCATGTTGAAAAAGCAAGTTCGTAAGATATATTTTATAAGCAAAAGTAAGGTTTAGGCTCTAGACAGTTGTGGTACATGACTAAAGAACTACAGCAATTCACACTATCTTTCATCTATCTGAAATTTTTTAAAATTTTCTTGTATATATATATACTGTAATTCAAGTCTATTTACCTCCTGTTGGTGTAAATTTCTTAAACGGATTATAAATATCATCAAACCTGTCTTACTTCACAATAAAGAACAATTTCTAAACAGAATGGTCATGGTCATATTTTTTTTCAAAATATATTTTTAAAATAAAAGTGTATTTAATTATCCACAACTTTAATACCTACTATACCTTTGGAAAGACAAAGTATAATTTAATATCAATGATTAATAAAACTACTGTTCATTATTATGCAGAAAAAAGGACATTACTGTACCTCAAAATATTCACACTATCTTCACAGGAGAAATTAAGTACAGTAGTTAAAGCAATGCTGAACTATCGCTAATACAAGTGTGTGCCTGTTAGGTTATACTATGTCAGTACAATATGTTAAAGTGAAGCTCTGAAGAAAAACTAGAAGATGAATGCACTAAATTATAAAATTAATTTTAGAACAATACCTACATAACATAATTTATAGTTGTCTATAATTAACTGAAGGGCAATGCATTTAATGAGTCTTAGCATAAACAAAACTACTAAAGTGATTGATTAGAGCATTCGAGGAAGGTGTCTTATCTTTTATGCCAACATATACAAGCAATCTTATAAAATGCCTAAAACATTCAAATCATTAAATTTAAAATATTAATTCTGGCACTATGTAAAAATTTATGCTGAAAGTGGTGGCACCAGAACCTAAGTTACGTACAAATGGCAGATTAGGCATTTAAAATTGTGAGTGGGCTGTACAACAGAGGCACCTGGCCCAAGATGAGCCAAAGCATGCAAATGAACTAAACTGGTTAAAGTATGTTCTTAAGATCTATGCCTGTCCACTTATTCAGGACGGAGCAAAAAAGGTTGCGGAAGAGGGCAGGCAAGAACTTAAGAGTGCTGCAGAAAGGTGTGGGGAAACACAACAGGGGCATGAGATGAGGAAGCGTCAGGGGCACACAAGGGCACAGGACAGCAAAGGTAGAGGGAGGATGGTGGGGTACCAGGGGTGTACAGAGATTTCGGTAAGGCAAGCACACACGGAGACGCTGGAGGGGACAAAAGATGCAGGGTGCAAGGGAGTGAACAGGAAGAGGGCAGAAGTGAAGGAGCACTGTAGAGGGGGAGGAGATGCACAAAGGTACATGAGGACTGCCAAGATGAACAGGGGTGCATGAAAGCACAGGAAGCAATAACGAGGTGGAAGATGTGGGGGAAGTGCTGAGGTGGCAGAGGACATGAGGGGACCCGAGCTCAGTGTTGCAAAGAGGAAGAGGGCAGAATTGGAAGAGCACAGGGTGAGGGAAGGAGGGTGCTAAGGGACCCAAAGCTAACATGAGTGCATGAAAGTGGAGAACGATGACTTCCCATGTCCTCCACTTCCTTAGGTGGAGGACAAGGACACAGGTGGTGTCAGGAGACAGGGTAACTAGGGAGCACAGAGGGGAGGCTAAGAAACACGTATGAGGGGCATGCCATCAATGTACAAGGACACAGGAAGGAGCGGAGGACACTGAGGGTGCGGGTGGCACATGGAAGTTAAGGGAAACTAGAGGGACAGGGGTGGCCAATTCACTGGCAATACAGTAAAGAAAACTCCTGGGTAACACCAATCCTTACCAAGAAAGACAAAAACTATACCTTAGTGGCGTAGAGACTGGTGAAGATGACCTCCAAGGCAGCATAGGAAGGCAGTCATTGTCCCAGTGCGACGGAGCCTCCAGACAAGTTGTCCTGGTCCTTGCTTGCTGGTTGCATTCCATTATCACAGTAAAGAAAACCCAGTGCTTAACATTGGAAAAGCAGTCCCCAAACAGCAACAGGATGTGAAGGAATGTAGAAATGCACACTGCTACATCCAGCAGTGTGTGTGTAGGTCAACATGTGAAGCACGAGTGGGGATCCAGGGCAGTAATCTGCATTAAATACTTGGCAGAACAGGTTGAGGGGGCTGGACCTCGCCATTCCCGGCTAACGAAAGAGGAGCATGTTCTGCTCTACTCAGAAAAGATGCATCATGGCATGCTTCATATGTTCAGGTGTTATGACTACTACTTGCAGTCATTACATTATAAAATTTAGTAAATTCATTTGGTTGGGAAATGAAATCTGGTGTGTATGTATGTTAGGTTTGTATCGAGAACTCCCAACAGTCAAACTACTGACCCCCCCTCATGATGCAATCCCAGAAGAGTTGACTAACTCCCATGTACCTACTTACTGTTAGGTGAACAGACATCAGGTGAAAGGAAACATGCCCAACCATTTGTCTATCCCGGGAATTTAACTGAAGATTCCCTATTGCAAGTCAAGAACGAAGCCAACTGTAGTAGACACCTTTTAATTGGTGCAGTAAAAACAAAGTGTAATTATTTCATGACTCATCAGATTGGAAGAGGTCAATTCCCAGGCAGGATAAGATGTTGGCCATGTTTTATCACAGCCAATAGGTTCTGGGTTTGATTTTCCCCAGTAGAACAGAAGAGTTTGGCCAATGTTTCCTTTCACCCGATGCCTCTATTACTTAGCAGTAAATAGGTACAGTACAGACAGTACCTGTAAATTAATCAAATATTGTGGGATGCATCTTGGAAAATATAAGCATTTGGCCTAAGCAGGACCTCAGTATGTCTAACAGGCTTCTTGTCCCTCATAAGTATATGAAACTACATTTAGTATAAGCAGTGGAAGTAGCCTACATGCAAAAAATGCAATCATGACAATTTAAACATTGTGTGACGAGGGAAAATTTAGAAGCCAGGGGAAAAGGTAGAGGTACCCGTGTACTTTCTATATAAATAAATGTCTGTCTGATGGGAGAAGGGATGGGATAAGGTAAGGAGATTGAGAGGGTAGGGAGATCAGAAGGGGGTAGTAAGACAAGGGGCAAGGGTAAGGAGATGATAGGGAGACGAGAGGGGCGCGTAGTGAGACAGTGAATGTGGGGGGAGAGAGACTATCCTAGGTACTCTTCCTAGTCTGTAAAAGAATGTTTATCTGTCCAAGGATAGAGGCTATAGCTTCAGCTAACTTTGCAAGGTGAATGGTATGGGGTACAGGATGGACATAAGCTGGTTAGGGTCAGTCCTATTGGTCCTATTAAGAGGGGGGGTATCAAACCAAATAGTGACCCCCTCCCATGTAATTAGTGAAAGGTGGCTCACAGTCCCTAGATTTCTTAAGTACATTTTAAAAGGATTTGCATGACCTTTAGCAGGACAATGCAAGTCTGACAGCAAGGTTCAGGTCTCCCTTCGTTCTATCAAGTACCTACAAGCTGTTCACATGTGGCCAATATGTAACCTAACAGGGTTAGGTTACATTTAATTATACACAATTTATTTGGAATAGTTAACTCCTAATAATTGTGAATGACATTATGAATAACAGTAGAAATCCAAGTTAGGAATTAAACTCTGGCACGGTATAAATAACCAGTTAGGTGGCTTCAAGTTCAGAAGCAATACCAATATGCCCTGGGAAACCAGTAAAACTTAACTGTCGTATCTGCTAAAGATTAGGTACAATCAGTGTTGGATTTTTATTACCATGTGAAGTAAAGGGTTGAATAACAAACTAACATTGGGACAAAGTAACTAAAGAGCCTTTATGAATTTTTCTTAGCTCTTAGGATTTTATAGCATATAAAATTTCAAACCACCATAAAATACTTGTCTCTGGGAGGAAACACCAAGGTTTCGTCATTAAAGGTAACCAAAAGCCAATGCCATCAGAAAACTTCAACCCATCCGTAAACAGAACAGTAGCTTTGGAGCGACTGAAAACATTCAATAAAAAAAGTGTCTCAACAACAGAAGGGTAGAAGACTATCATACAGGTTATTATTTTCAAAATATGAGACCCCTCCATAAGGGTAATGTAGGCACAATACCAGGGACACATCATGGATCTGCAGTGTAATAAATGACTACCAAGTAGAGTAGGCCTTTCAACAGTTATAGTCAAAATATTGTACAGGCCTAAATGGTGGCTTGGTAGCGTCTGCGAGAAGTATCGAAAACAATACTGATCGTGATGATCTTTTAATTATTGTACACCAGTTTCTACATTAAAGTTCTGGATTGAGGAATGAAATGCCCCCCCACTACCCCCAAGTCAACATGCATGCTGGTATGAGGCAAAGCACCAAAACATCAGAGTTGAGGGCAAAGGCAATGAATATGTAGAGCATTCTTGGACCAGCACGAGGGTTGTAAAATTAATTAGCAAAAGACACTAAGCCAGGAAGACTATTTGGTACTGTGCGTCGTGAGATATTAAAAAAATCCAAACATCACTCGGGATGCTAATACGTGAACAGACACATAAGGCAGCAATGTCGAAGGCACTGGATTCACTAACCATTCTATTAAGAAAATGTGATTTAAAAGTACATTAAGGAAGCAAGACCTATCATAAAAATCAGGACATTCTACAAGGAGGTGGATGACTAAAGGGTGACAATGCAGTTGAGACAATAAGGTCCAGGACGTTGCTCCTGCAAGTGCCCAAGAGTGTGGCCAATACACAACCTAACCAAAGCCATTTCCCACCATCTATTATGGTGGTTAGAGGAAACCCATGGAGAAAGATCACTCAAGAACATGCAGTTTGATACCCATCATACCAGACCCTTTATCTTGCATTCACAGTATAACAAAGTCTAAAATATATCATCCCTTTACAAGATGGGACAGGCACAAAGGACCTCCTTAACAGCAGCATTCACAAGTTCATTTGAGGCAACATCAATAGGGTAAAATACCCAATAAAATTTGACTATTAAATCTGCTAAAGATGAAAAACAGTTGGTATTAGATTTTGTGGATTATAGCAAATGAAGGAGCATTTGCGTATTTTTTTTTATATTCACTGGCTTACCAGCTAAGTGCACACTAGTTCAAAAGATTCTAACAGGCTTCACCACACAAATTTTAAGGCACACTGTATGGAGAGAAAGTCATATGGTAAAGAAATTTGTTAATAAGAGGATATGAAAAGTGTGGGTCAGCATAAAGAACTGGCAGTCTCTGAAGACTTGACAAAGACAGAATGACAAGTAATTATCAAAAGAAGGCACCAAGCCGGGAGACTATGTAGCAGAAGAATGACAAGAGAAAACAGAAGTGTATACCTCCTATGACAATTTCACTTATCCTAGTGAATATGGTACAGTGGTGATGAAACAGTTTTGTAAGATGCTCACTGTATTCCAATAGGACCTGCATCACATAGGCTAATAGTCCTTTTGTAGCTTCATTTATTTTAATTTTCTTTTTGCACATTGTCAAATCAAATCGCCATTTCTATGGGAATGAAGACAGAATGCAAATGGAGTGCAATTTAAACTGTTAAAAAAATATAACTTATAGGTGCTGTACGTAGAAACTGCACACACAGGTCACAAAAACAATGGTCACCCTCCACGTCCTGTATATTCGAACAAGTTTTCCATTTAGACAGGATAACCACAATAAAAAGATTTTTGGGTTATTGAGAAAAATTTGCAACAGCAAATATATAAATAACTCTTTATACAAGGGCTACTGGCAGCTCTTGGAATACAAAAAATTCTGTGATTTACTAACCTATCTTTTCATTAAGCCTAATAAACTGCCAAAACAAAAAAAATTGCATTATGAATAATACAAGGAACCATTAGCAATTCCATGTGGAATTACATATAATAGCTCAAATATAACAAAATCAAACAATTTAGCAGCATGAACAAGCCACGAATTATGAAAAGAGCAAGGCACCCAGTACACTCCATAGCACCAGTACTTTTCTCATTCCCAGTCCAGAAGGTGAAGGCTATATATATAATATATATTATAAAAAAAAAATACAAAAAAGCTATGGAGTTCTGGAGCCCCCACTCCTAGATTAGCAGTAGCACTGGGCTCACACTGCACAGGCAATGTCCCATTTCTCATCCTCTGTGCCATCTGGACTACGGACAGCCCGCCACTGGCCAGCTGTGTGAATGAAAGGACAGCTGTAACACTCCGAGGAGGAGAACCACCACATATATAAGCCACTGCATGTTAACACTAAAACGTGCAACCACAGGCACAGAGGAGAAGTAAGGATGCGTGTGGTACCTGTAACGTGCTATTTATCACATAAGAAGGAATACCCACTGCCATTTCTTCTCACCCTCAAAAAAGATACTCACAAGGCCTTGACAAGAAGGCTTTAGCAGGGCTCATGAAACTAAATTTTAAATACATATTTTTTTTTTTAACAAGACAAATTATGGCATGAACAGTGCAATATTCACTGATCTTTTAATTTCCCCAGTATATTACTGCCCAGTCTAAAAATTTGTATCCCTTGAAAATAATTTAAAAACGGGATCTGAATATACTTTATAAACTTTTATAATACATTACAAGTGATGTCAGCATGCTTCATGAGGTTTGGTAGTAGAAATTTGCCTCCTGTTAAGCCTACTGTGTGCTCAGTGGTATCCTTCAATGCATTCAACCTCCAATTGCCTACAGATTCCAGTTCACTGTACTCTTACCAATAACTATTGAGAACTTTATCACTTTCTAATATGCGCAACAAACCACATTCATGAAGCTATCTCAGGAAATCTCTGTATAGAGATGCATGAAAGAGACAATCCATATTGATCTTATTTACACGTTTCTTCCACCATGATTTCTCTCTGAACAGCCTGCCAACTGTGGGCATACAAAGACGCAATCTTGCAGTGAGGATTTGTCTTCGAGGGTTGAGCATGGCAGGTAGAGGGAAAAGGCGGAGATTCTGGCAGGACATCCACGCACTTTGATTCTCTCTGCTGATTAGTGGATGGACCAATTGTGCGAGTCTTCTGCCTTCATGTGATTCATTTTGAGGTTAGCTTTATGGATCTCTTGAGACTGACGTATGTAAATGAACCTCTCGATAACATTTCATTAAGCTCCTGGTATGAGCAAAATTTCTAAAGAAAGGCATTGCACATAACTTCAGTACTCATGTTTTCAGGTGTCCGACATGCTATTAGCTGAAGGCTCGCCATGGTCCAACAAATTACTCCACTACTTTCAAAACCTTACCAATAGCAATGGTTTTACCTGCAAAACAATAAAATTAAATGTTTTACAATTATATATTCATAAACAATTTCTTATATTATTATAGATTTAGTCTACACTAACTTTCTACTAATTATATCAAGCTTAATACCAACAAAATTGACAAACTAAATGCAGTTGGATCATGTGAAGTTCATCAATAAAGCTATACCCAGTACCATATTATTATGCCAGCAACACATTATACTAAACTACACTATCACCCATAAAAAGATGAGGCATGAGGGGGAATGGAAGGGATATCAAAGAGAGGAAAGAGGTGGGGAGAGAAAATAGAGAAGGGAGGATGGGTAGAGGGGAGGGGGGGAGGGAAAGGTGGAGGAGAAACAAGAGAAAGCTGGGGTGGTGGAAACGCATACCCTTGCCAAATCTATGAAATAAAATTAATTCTTAAAACTAATCACAAGAAGGATACAATGAACAAGATATGGAAAAGGCACATATTGCCTTTAGTTCCTGAAGGAACTTGGTAACAACACCATTGAGATATTTACTCCAAATTTGCACACAATTTAGAAATTTAGGCTTTAGGTCAGGCACCAAGACCAAAGTAATTTAACAACTTGGTACTGTATATATTACATCCATTTCCCATAAAGATTGGTATAAGAGGATGAAATCTGCTAAAAATATAGCATTGTCTTTGGTTTATAAGGATGCTTTTCTGGATGAGCAGGACATTACAGATGAATACGGCTAATTTGAATTTGAAGGTACATATTAAAACAATCAGTCAATTCCTAATCAAGAAATATAACCCTAGAAAACTGTGAGTATCAAAATTTGTGGAGTAAATTGTCCATTGCTAAGAAATGCAAGAAAACCGACACATTCCAAGACAATAAACTTTAAATTCATAATTTAAAGCACAGTTCATTTTTGGCAGTGCAAGCTCTAGTAGTACAACAGAATACACAAACATCTCTTACCACTAACCCCTCAACATGCACTCACCACTACTTGATCACCTGGGCCATTATGATCATCATCATTTGACTTATTATTATTATTACCTAGTATGTGTACCAATAGTGTTATAATGCAGTATAGTTTGAATATCTATACGGATGTAATCAAGTTAACCAAAGACCTTGTGTAAAAATTCTGCGATCACTTCTGCAGTTGCTTATTAGGCAATGAAATCACTCAGGACCCGTGGTTATCATCAAATGGCTATTTGGTCTTTCCGGCTTGCGTGACAAACAACTTTGCGTAAACTAACAAGTGAAGTAAACATCCAAGGTAAACAAAGTCTTCTTCCCCTGTGCTAATTATCAGCAACCCTCACATCAGGCACTTAAGACAATGATCCTGCTACCTGGCTTCCTGTTACACCTTCCCAAATCCAGAAGTCCCTGCCCCCCCCCCCCTGCACTTTTCCTTACTTTTCTCAGACAAATGTGTAATCTTGACTTTTTTTTTGGGGGGGGGGGGGGGGCATAATGCTAAGGAAGTATGTAGTGATTGATTCCCTCCAACAGATTAACTGGTTCTAAGGCTTTCAGAAATATATTTGTTATTTTCACTAATCTAGGTGGTTTGGAACTAGATTAGTATCAAAATTGAGAGCGCTCAGCTATAAGGACAGTTTTAGGGAGCACATCCTCCCAAAATTAGTGAAAAGAAGAAACAGGATATTATCATGATGCACAAGATACTCATGGCAATAGACACACAAGGGTATTGTAGCAGAACTTCTATATAAGCCATAATTTTAATTTCAACCTATCACATGATAAATTATTCAGAGAACCTGACTACAAAGATTTCACCCTCACTACCACCATTACTCAGCATCCAGCTCCTTCAATCTTATTTTTTATAGGTATGGCCATAACCCCAAAATGGTGTAAACAAGTTGGGCCCATTGATTCCCCCGTAGGATGGTTAACTCTGGCCTGCAAAGTATGCAATTGTAGATTTGCCAAAGCTAGTTAGCCAAATTAAGGTTGCATTGTAATATCTTTAACAACGGAGGAGTATTCCTATGCAGTATATAAATCTGTGTTGCTTATAATGCAATTATGCAAAGACAATGTGCAGAAATTTCAAGGACACCACAAAAGCTAAAAATTTATCTTTACCAAATATCCTAATGTAATGACCTGAAATATGAAGAAAATTTAACAAGCACTGCCATCTATTTTTTAATGTATAAAAATAATTTTTACCTTCATCTCTTAATGTGAACCGTCCAAGCTGTGGGTGATCCTTGAAAGCTTCCATACAAATGACTCCAGACGTCTCAAACCTCATGATTGCAATCTGCGAAAAGAACAAAAACAAATATCTTGCACAAACTTGAAATGGAAATTAAAGCGTGTGGAAATATTTTCTCAATGTTAGTCTAAAACTTCTAAAGGTTTAAGAGGACTACATAATGATTAAGGAAAGACACAAAGTGGCTGCCTTTTGCTTCCACAAGAAAACTTCTTGAAATGCTACCAATTAGAAAAGTAAAATGAGGAATGCTGGGAAAGCGACAATTGTATACACCACTATTTCTAATTTGTTGTCTCAAGCAAGAACAAATGATTAATGGAGACTTAGCGACTATTTTCATCACTACCATTTATTTATTTCACATGGTAGGGAGTCACTATCCTGGAGAAGGTGAGGGAAGCAGTACTAGCAACAGATGGTTAGAATTAGGTGTGGGCAAGTGAGGTAACTACGGAAATTTAACATGTTTGCAGGATACAGAGGGTTCTCAGAATTTGTTAAATTAAATTAAATTAACCAGCAAAAGTGACCTTTCAGATCAGTGTCCCAGTAAGACATATACTGGCCAAGATATGACAAAGTGACAAGCAAAGCACAAGTCAAAGCATCAAGTCTGAGGCCTATGGCAGATCAAAATGCTTGGCCCAACCAGCCTGTCACCGAATCCCTACTTGGCTATCACATCACGGGCACACTTATCAAATGCCTTTGCAAAGTCTGTGTAAAACATTTGCATTTTGTTTTTCTTCTAATGCTTCCGTGATTTTATCATAGTCAAGTAATTGAGAGAATTACTTGGTTATAAAAAACAGTGCAAAGAATTTAAAGGCTGCCAAGAATTTTATTAAAGTCAAGCAAAATAAGAAACTAACATTCACTAACTTTAAAAATGCAAAAACTTACCTGGTCTTGTTTAACAAATCGTGGTCGAACTTTAGATTTTTCTCCAGTCTTCTTGTCAATTAGGCATATAAGTAACTTTACTGTAACTTCTTCGGCTACCGAGTGAATGTGGCAAACCGCTGAGTAGCCTGCACAGATGATTGACTTGTGTTCAAGGATAACAACCTGGAAATTAGTAATATTATAATTTCCTGAGAATTATATACAACCGACTCCTGCATTTGCTCGATTAGTCCTCCTATGTGGACACTTATATTCTAACATCTTTACACTAATATTTACAAAATCTCTTCAGTGTGCTTTACTTTAAACACTGAAGTTAGCTCAACCCTTAATAGGTTCTCTTGAGAACCTATGCACTAGCCTTTTGTTAGGAACAATATCAAAAGCTCTTTGACAGTTTAGGAAATGCCTATTTCCAGTCCTATTCCTATTCCAGTCCCACCAGTCCAGACTGGTGGGATACTGGTATCCCACCAGCATCCAAGTTTCATGGTGGGACGACTCTTGGAGATTAAGGTGGCAAACTAACATTACGGCAACTTAGTGGAAACAGAGGATAGACAAGAGTACACAGGTCCTGGGAGATGCCACAATTGATATTGGCATCTTATTGGCATTGCCTATATTCAAACACTGGCAGTAAAGACCAAATCATTATGTGAAGAAAGCTAAGTCTCTAGTACACTCAACACTGATGGATTAAATGACAAATGGTTAGTCCTGGTCGACTATTACAGCCATAGAGTTGTGAAATCCACTTGGACATCACTGGCATGCAGACTGCGTAAACAAACATTGACAATTGTCATACAAATGTTGAAATAACAATTCAGTATATCACCATAGCTTAAGAATTCAAAACAGTGGCAGAAATGAGATATAGTATAAGGATAAGCATAATATTCTTATACTGCTTCCCCAACTTTGAGAAACATGGCAATAATATATTTGTGTTTAACTATCCAAAACTGGTAATGTTTTATTATGTTATTTATGCATAAAACACTATGTTACAAATTCATGATAAGAAGCCAAGAGCAAAGAAGAAAATGTTGTGATAAGCATTACCTGTGCATCAAATATCCTTCCCGTTTTGCATGGGTTATTAGGGTCACACAGAACAAACCCTGGTGCAACGTCAGCTTCCTCTACACCTCGTAGCTTCACCTTGACGTTCTCACCACAGTTTACTGACCCGGTTTCATCCTCATCTCTCCACAACATGTCAACTGTGACTGGAGTCTGTAGTAACAAAATAATAAAATATACCAAATTCTACATTACAAAATTAAAATTTGTAGACAGTGATAAATGCTAAAAAAGTATCAAGCAAAGCTACACACATTACAGAACTCACGACTGTTCACTCGTGTCCCAAGTGCAATATCACTAATCCTTCACTTCTCTCGACCGTAGTGGCTATCTTTTTCCAACTAGTACTACCTAAATTCTTTCCTCTAACTTTCTGTTAACCTCTATTTTCCAACCAACTTCATCCATACTATTATACTTTAACTAAATATCTTAACACTTTTCTCTGTCATTTTCACCATTTACTACTTTCACGAAAGCCAATCATCCTAACTTTTATTAGCTTGGTACCTTATATCCATTTAGCATCACACTTCAAAGATTAATTATACTTTCTATGAAATCTCCAATAATTGTAGTTGTATCTTTACCCTAAGCAAGCAATGTATAATTTTTTTCTTTAAGTTTAATATTGACCACAGATCAAAAAGAAGTGTCAATTTCCTATTTTAGCCAATTCTAATCGTCTCGTACTATAATTATTGCTTATATTTTAGGCCAGGTTCCCAGCAAGGGCAAAATGCACGGGTTAAAAAGTGACAATCAATATAAAACAGCCACTTGCACATACAGTACCAAATTAAACAAGGCATATATCCTTACAGTGTTGGATTTAAGTCATTAGGGCTTACAAGCCAGTGGGGATATGGTTATACTCTGGCATCAAATCTTAACTTAGAAAATAACACCATCCCAATGAAATTAGAAATGGAGACCCATTGGATTGTTACCCTGGAATAACGGTACTACCACCAATGTGTACAATACCCTTAATTACTATGTACGCCTCAATGTCTTCCCATGTCACGAACACTATGGTGCTCAACTAGTGTCCCATTTATGAAAATTATACATGCATGGTGTAACCAGTAGTGCGATTTGGCCAGTTCACCCAAATAAGATTTCTAAAATTACCAGTTTGCTGAAACTATTTAGTCAAGCATTTCCTCACCATTCCATTAGCATTAAACTTGTGACAGACCACATCACTCCCACCAGAATCACTAACTTCTGCAACTTCAAGAAAATTATTCCTCTACTATACAGTATATCCAAGGAAGTACAGTACTGTACTGTGTATGGAATTTGTAAACACATTTTAAAATATTTTCAGCTCATTTAGTTAAATTATTTTTAAATTTCAAGAATTAAACAATATGCTGACCCAGGGCAGGGAGAAGTGCACCTTCACTGAGTAAATGGTAAATTTTTCAATACCAGGTCAATAACTTTAACTTACCTTATTTGGCATAACAACGATGCTATCCCCTTTCTTGCAACATCCCGATTCCACTTTTCCCATAACAATTGTTCCTCTGTCGTTGTAGCGATCTACCACAGGCATCATGAAAGGTCCACTAACATTACGATTTAGAGCTGGTAGGTCATTTATGTATGGTATAAATGCTGGACCTTTATACCACGAACACACAGTTTCATCAATAGATTCTCTGAGGTTAGCACCAGTGAGTCCTGAACATGGCATAAACATAATATCTTTATTTGGATTGAAGCCAACCTGTGGAGAAAATAAAAAGATTAAATTTTTTTTATTAACATATACTATACAGTACTTGTCTTATTCACCTCTACCCACCACAAGATAAAGAGTAATAACTATGCAAGTTTAATGACTGTACAGTACTTTTATACTAAACTACTGCAATATATGTCAAGAAAGGTATCCCACCTCCCCCTATGCCTGGTACCTTTCAAACCATAAAATATTAAAATTACAAATACGTACAACAATTCATACGGAACATTGCTTATCAGTGACTAGAAGGGAGCGAGCTCTACCTCTATGCGCACCTCCTAGCAGTTTCTATCTGGAGCACTAATTACCTCTCTCAACACCAATGTTATCATTCTTTTCATAAGGCTGTGGATGGAATTGGCTTCAACATCCTCGTCCTTCAATGCATTCCATCTGCTAACCAGTCATACAGGAAACAATAGCTTCCTTACATCTCTATGGCATCCACTTGTGTCCCTGTCCTACCTCTTTCAATTTAAATAGGCTTCCTTTGTCCACTTTGCTCCCCTCAGGATCTTGCAAGTAATGATCATATCCCCCGTATGTTTTCTCGCTCCTGTGGTTGTAAGGGCATGTTCCATCCTGTTCTTTTAACTGAGCCCTCTTAAATTCTGGTACTAAGCTATCTGCAAACCTCTGAACAAAGGTTTGTTCAGAAGTTTGCTTCGCAAGGTATGTGTTCCATACTGGTGTTGCATACTAAGTAATGGTCTTACACAGGCATTGCATATGGGCTTTAAAGCCTCCTTGTTAAGATTCTTAAATGATAGTCTTACGTTTACTAACTACCCAAATCCTGCTGGTGTTATCCTGTTCACATTATTATCCCAGGGAAAGCCTAAAGTCTCAGTTGGATACTAGTTATGTTTCTCAGAGATTCTCCTTTATTGTGGGTGTTCAGTAGTCCGGTTGGTTGAACTAGTCTTCCACTTTTATGGCTTGAGCCAATGTGAATGAAACGTTATTACCCACGTTTAATGTAGTTAGCAATTTATTAGCACTGTACATTTTAAATTAACAATGAAGAGAGGTTTTGTGTCAATACAATTAGGTGTTTAAGATGAAACAAACGATGTGAAACATTACAAACCATTCTTACCAAGTACACCTTAAATCCTAAAAACAGACCAACTGACCTTTTTGAGGTAGGGAACAAGTTTCTCTTTGCATTCATTGTAGCGAATTTCTGACCATAGAACTGTTGAATCATCCATCTTGTTGATCAACACAATAAGATGCTTTACTCCCGCCGTCTTGGCCAACATGGCATGTTCTCTCGTCTGGCCACCTCTTTCAAACCCTGTTTCAAATTCACCTTTTCTTGCAGATATAACCTAAAATATTAATTAAAAGGAAAATTAACTATCTATAAGAAGTTAATGGCAAGTCATTGAATGAATTACAAAGCAACGTGTTTTTGAAGAATATCAAGCAAATTGTGGAGGTGTAGATGCTACTTACCAAAACAGCCAAGTCAGCTTGGCAGGCACCACCAATCATATTAGGCACGAAACTTTTGTGACCCGGAGCATCCAGGATTGTGAAGTGTTTCTGCTCCGTCTCAAAGTACGCTCTACCCACTTCTACAGTTTTACCCTTGTCACGCTCTAGTAGCAAGATAAATAACACATTATTCAACACAATCAAGGAGGGTTTAAGTAAACCAATTTATAATATGCAACCAATTTTTTTTTAAGTAGAAAAATCATTTTTTGAAGATGGCCTAAATCACTAATAATAATTTAGGATGGACTTTAATGCATAGTACAGTACTGTACAAGCTGATACAATGAGAAAAAAGCTCTACTGCAACAAGAAAAAATTTACCTATGGTTTATTACTATAGACAAGTATTGCAGGTTTATATATTAGCATAGAATGTATGAAGCAGCCAGATTATGGCCAGTGCCTCAACACCACTGTCTCCAATACTGTGGAAACAAGGAGCTGCAGGTAACAAAACAATGAATGATATTTTCCTACCAAGGATAACCAACCATTTGTATATTTTACTGTATTTCAAATATTAATTTATCAAGGTCTAAGAGGCAAGTTTGAGTTATATATCCTAGCATACTTGAGCCCATCACACTCAACTGCACTCAATGAATCAAATCACACATCCCACTATAAATACTTAGTATTTGAGTGATCACCTAAATACATTCATTCAGTGTTTTTCTAATATGCAACTGCCCCTCACCCTACTCATTGGTTGGGTGTCATTGGTACTGACAATGACAATACCAATCAATTTCTATCAACACACAAGCACCTTTCAGATTTCTGCCACAAGTTCACACAACAAAGCTAATGTTCAATTAGAAATTTAATGAATAGAAATCTGACCTTCAAGATTTGTATCTAGTGCCCAAGATAAGTACCACGTCTCTCTGTTCTTTTCTTTCGCCTCCCGCTCATACTTCTCTAAGGTTCTCTTTTCCACCATTCCAGTCAAATACATAATCTGACCACCAATCGTTGATTTCCCAGCATCTGCAAGAAAAATTACAGGAAGGTTAGCTTTCCACTAATTACACACATTTACAAAATGCAAGTGCTTGAGAATATCATACTTTCACAACATACAGTACTTTTCTTTTTAGGACTTGGATCACAGCAAAGCCATTAACATGTAATCAGGTTTACCATGTTAATACCTCAAGCTATTTTAATAGTGAAAGAAGGGAAAGGCCTGTCATAATATGATAGTAGCTAATTTGGTAATCGACATTTTCAAGCAGGCTACATGGTGGTTTCAGTTAAAATTTAGAGTTCCATAGGCTTTGACAACCTGTGCTAGTTATAATGATCTTCAGTACTGCTTAATGACAGTATGACCCATTAGGGACTTGTTGGAACTAACCCCTAGTGCTGGTGCAGATTATCTCCTCAGCCTGACTCTTCAAACAGAACCAGTTCAGTTTTAATTTAGAGAATAACAAATGTAGAATGGCTCAGAAGACCTATTTAAAAACACTTTTTCCAACATTTTATCTCAACACATTTTATGTTATCTTTGTACTAATTAAACAATAATGCTTGGTAAATAGCAAAAACATTTATGCTATGCTGGTGCTTTTGTTGCAAATGGGTCCAAAATTAACCTAGCTGGTCTACAAGAAGTCCACTGTACCGTACTGAATTGGCCACATGTTTTTTTTTACAATTCACAGGATAATTGTTTACATTAATAAAATGAATTATACCATAGAAAAAAGAAGCAAGTGAGAAACATGCATAGCAGTCTTAATAATTAATGAGGATTTTTAAAAGAAATACATACCCACATGACCAATAAAAATAACATTAACAGGTTCTTTCTTAGGTAAAGAATCATCTTCATCTAATGGCTTTTTCTTGGGCTTTTTTATTTCATCACTGTCCTCATCATCATCCTCGTCTGGCGTGCCTGGCGTGGGAGGGCTTGGAGGCGTCTCACGAGTTGGTGATGGAGTTGCAGCATCAGCCGCTTCCTCCCACGAATCGGCTGTGATGTCCCCGTCATTGTTTATGGTCGACTCTTCAGGCGTACCTGCTACCGGCTCTGGAGGCGGATCTGTAGCAACGAATAAACCAAGTAGGAATTTCTCTATTTGCCTATTAATAAAGATTCCAAACACTCAGAGCATGAAGAAGCAAGCATAAGATTCATTCTTCCCTGCAGGCAACATATTAATCAAGCATGGTCAGAGCTCTGCCGATTAAAGAAGAAATCTTGGCCCTAAGCCAGATATTTTTAGCAATACTGTACACTTGTAAATAGACAATTCTTAAAAACAAATACTGTATACTATCCTATATACATGTATATATATATATATATATACTGTATAATATATACTATATGAAAAAAGTTGTCATACATAGGGGAAGAATGTGTGTTTGGAGAGTGCATTATGAGGTGGGCGTGATGAGTGTAAGGGTGGGATGTTGGTGAAGGTGTGGGTTACTATGCTTTAATTTAGGAGCTGGAGTCAGGAATCATGTTAGGCTTATCAAGATTAACCTAGGTTAACCATTGACCATCCCAAGAATGCAACCTACAACAGGTACCTAACCCTCCAAACATTGTAGAGGTGTTCAACTGGGTGGATCATTTCTTTGGCAATTGAGTACTTTACAATAACACGGTAAACAGCTATGTGTTCAGTGCTATTGATCATAAGAATCAGTGTCACAATTTTATTTTTATATGCAATGAAGGATGGCAGTCCTTTTCGAATTGATGGGTTTCTCCCAAATGATTTAAGGAGCAATTACAGTATCACCAACAGGAGACCAAAGATACATACCAATAATTTTGTTCAGTAATCTTCACAAATCATATTATACCTAGGATAACCTTCCCTAGGTGTCTTACAGTATGTTACCTTGAACTTCAGGAATCATATATATCTGCCTGAAAGGAATGAAAAAATCTTTTTCTACATTTCTCAAATATTTTTACTTCGTGTTTACTGGAAGATATCCATCATACTAACATTGTAACCTATTAACTTGCCATTCTAGTACATACTACGATGACTTTTTGGGGCATTTTTTTCCATCCTGGGACCGGAAACTGTCCCAGACACTAATTCCTTTACTCTATTTTTATGTTTGCCGTGATGAAAACGAGGCAGTATTAACTGTGTCGATTCATTCAATATGGGTAACTACACTGCTGTGACAGTTTTTCCACCTGCACAACACTTCCATATATTACACCAATTCCCATTTGTTTTCCTGTACTGTAGATAGATATTTAATACACTAATGTAAAGGCATTAGACTTTTTTCTGAATCTCAAATATTTATGTAATCTCAAAGTGTTAAAAATATATCTCTAAGGATCATATAAAATTATTCCAAACCAGCTTGCATTTACACTATGACCCTACTCCATGGACAGCAAAAAGGTGTGAATCATTTTATGTATTGATATGGCCAAAAAGGACAAAAAAGGTATTGGAAAGAGGAGGCATCTTAACATAGAAGAAATGACAACATTTACAGAGAAGCAGTGAACAAGGCTGGGTAGTGAGGCAACTAGCTGAGAAATATAGTATTGGCACTATATTTCATAGTTCAATGCTTTAGTATGTAACTAGTACATCCATCCAATACCAAGTGGTTTAGACATTCTTAAATGTATATCATGGATTTGCTGTACAGCACTGGGCAATCTGCATCAGTTCACACTTGTCATGTGATGAATTTTATTATAATCATTTTGCATTAGGTAACATCATTGTACACTCAGACTAGGTAATATGATCCAACCACTCCGAACAAATACCACGAGTCTAGTAAACCTGGTATGAAAATTAATAAGCAATAAAACCATCTGTTGTACCATTGGAGGTACATTCACATCATACACAAACATCTCCCACACAGATCCTCTTAAGAAATTGTATATAGACAAGACTTGGTTAGATTATGTTAGCTTACACAGTTCACTGGCAATCATGTACTAAAAGTAAACTGTACTCCAGTTGTATGATTGTGAACACAAAGCACATATAACTCGCCAATTTGCGAATATTTTGGATGGTCTCAATTGTTTAAAATGTCAAAGCTTGATAAAACACATGAACACGTTACTACACACCATGCTCCATGCATCTTTACTTAAACTTTGGTATGCTTTTCAGGAATAAAATATAAATAAAGTCCACTACCATTCTTTATAGAGAACATTGTCAATGGTGATGTATGATGATGATGGTATCAGGGGCAGCAACGGGACTAAGCCGTGCTCGCCCTGCCAGTCCAAATTTGGAGAAGACAGAGAGAACATTCCCTTGCGGTATATAGTAGTCAGCAGGAGGAAGTCACAGCTCATAAGCATCGCTGTAGTCTGTAGAAAACCATCCTTGGTCCTTGTAAGTCCTTGACCGGGCCTCCTCGTTGCTAGACTGATCACCCAGGCTGTTTGACACAGCTGCTCGCAGCCTGACGTATGAATCACAACCTGGTTGATCAGGTAAGGCAATACCTATGTGAATTAATACATTAACGTGACAATCAGCAGGACTAGACAGCTCACAAGTGTCGATGTAGTCCTGTAATGACCATAAAGCTGAAAGTGTGCTGTGGGACGGCCCATGTTGGTAGCGACGGAATATAGGGTCGCGTGGCGTGGTGAGGAGAGTACCCATCACACGGACAGGTGATCACACAACACGTGTGTGGAGGGAAGTACCCACAAACTGAACACCAGCTGGCCACCATACAACACCAGCAGGAAGCATTATGGTGGAGAGAAGAGTACCACAACACCAGCAGATGGTACAGGGTAGTGAGCCAAGGAGTAGCCTTAACACCAGCTGGTCACCATACAACACCAGCAGATGGTGCAGGCTGGTGGAGAGGGGAGCACCACACAACACCAGCAGGTGGTGCAGGCTGGTGGAGAGGGGAGCACCACACAACACCAGCAGGTGGTGCAGGCTGGTGGAGAGAGGAGAGCACCACACAACACCAGCAGGTGGTGCAGGCTGGTGGAGAGGGGAGCACCACACAACACCAGCAGGTGGTGCAGGCTGGTGGAGAGGAGAGCACTACACAACACCAGCAGGTGGTGCAGGCTGGTGGAGAGGAGAGCACCCACACAACACCAGCAGGTGGTGCAGGCTGGTGGAGAGGAGAGCACCCACACAACACCAGCAGGTGGTGCAGGCTGGTGGAGAGGAGAGCACCCACAGAACACCAGCAGGTGGTGCAGGCTGGTGGAGAGGAGAGCACCCACACAACACCAGCAGGTGGTGCAGGCTGGTGGAGAGGAGAGCACCCACACAACACCAGCAGGTGGTGCAGGCTGGTGGAGAGGAGAGCACCCACACAACACCAGCAGGTGGTGCAGGCTGGTGGAGAGGAGAGCACCCACACAACACTAGCAGGTGGTGCAGGCTGGTGGAGAGGAGAGCACCACACAGCACCAGCAGGTGGTGCAGGCTGGTGGAGAGAGGAGAGCACCACACAACACCAGCAGGTGGTGCAGGCTGGTGGAGAGGAGAGCACCCACACAACACCAGCAGGTGGTGCAGGCTGGTGGAGAGGAGAGCACTACACAACACCAGCAGGTGGTGCAGGCTGGTGGAGAGGAGAGCACCCACAGAACACCAGCAGGTGGTGCAGGCTGGTGGAGAGGAGAGCACCCACAGAACACCAGCAGGTGGTGCAGGCTGGTGGAGAGAGGAGAGCACCACACAACACCAGCAGGTGGTGCAGGCTGGTGGAGAGGAGAGCACCACACAGCACCAGCAGGTGGTGCAGGCTGGTGGAGAGGAGAGCACTACACAGCACCAGCAGGTGGTGCAGGCTGGTGGAGAGAGGAGAGCACCACACAGCACCAGCTGGCCACCACAAACACATGACCTACATCAGCGTCGCCTCCACATCTCCAGCAGGAGGCCTGGGCCGCCCTGGGGCTCGCCCACCCTCCCCACACACACCACCCAGACTCACCTGGCGCCGCAGGTTGGGTCTGGCCACCTTCTTCCTTCATAAAGCTGGGAACGAACTCTGGCGCATTCACGTTGGGAATGAAGACCGGGGCGTTCACGTTGAGTGTGGTGAAGTTGGTGGCGTGTGTGGCCGGGGTGTCGTCAGCTGCCGCCTCCCACGAGTCTGGTGCACTGTTGCTCTCTGACATGCTCGACCTCTACACGCTAGTCCCGAGGGACTTCTCAAAGGCAGTAGTGACACACGGAGGTACAACGTGAGCCGGAAGTTGTCTCGCGGGGAGCTGCCAATCCAGTATGGCGGATGACACCAACAGTTGACGAGCGCCAAGCACATTATTCTCCTATATTTGCCGATATTCTACTCTCTGATATATATATACATATATATCCAATCTCTTATTTATTCCCCAATACTTACTCTCTAGCCTAACATCATCTTGATCAGACGGTAATGTAAATCAACGATACCTTAACTTTTCTGTTTACCGTGTTTCAATCTACTTATTTCCATTACTTTCAATTGATGTTTGTAGACTGATTTTCATATATTAGAAATAACTTCAACCGGGCATGAAAAAAATAGATAGATTATCGGTTTTAGGTGAAGTCCAAGTCGTCGTCGAGGTAACTATACAGACATTCGGATACATTCTGAATTATACTCCGGACACTTGTCTTAAGAACATTTTCAATTTCACTAAAACATATGCATATAGCCAAGTTTAATAAGCTACAGGCATATATATATTACCCCATACAAACTTTATAAAATAATATATTCTTTATATATATCCCATGTATCGCAGCTCTTAACAAAACAAGAGGAAATTGAATAGGAGTGTATCACACTCAATCCCGGGCTTTAGCTCCTGAGCCCATTATGTGCCTCTAGTCTAACTTTTCCCATTACCGCCCATTTGTGATGGATATAGAAGTGCATAATAAATTTTAAAATCAAATAGCCTATAAAATACTGACTATTTATGGCGTCTATGAATATCAGAAACATTAACCAGATAAATGTCGATATAATACTTCATCGGTGAAATTAAGAGCACAACAATTAAGGAACCTGCAGAAGGCCTGTTGGCCCATACGTGGCAGCTCCTATTTATATCCCTCCCAAACTCATACTGTATATATTTACCCTATCAAGTGGTCCCCACGTCTACTACGGTACCACCGGGAAGGGTCCCGGCAGTACAGTTGAGTTCGTTCTAGACTCATAATCGAAAATTCAGAGTTCGAATCCCGGGCGGGACAAATGGTACCACAACATACAAACTCGGATATGCCACCAACAGCACAGGTACAAGGTAAACTGTAGGGCACTTAGCGAGGCCGGTCTTATTTATTTCTAATCACAACCACCAATTTATCTAACCTACCTCCAGAAGCAATCAAACGAAACCACATGTCTATATCATGTTACCTGGCAACTTGTTCCATAAATCAACAAACAACACTATTTCAAAACACGTACATTTACCATGGTATCTTCCAGATTAAAACCTAAACAATTTGCATATACCTTTTCACTTTACTTCAAAGGTACAGCACATTGTCTATGCTGTTCAATCCTGTGTTTAAATCGCTTATATAAATATAATAAGCAAGAGGTCCCAGATCGTAGCTCACCCATAGTAGAATGCATCTTCCAAACCAGCTCCAGGATACTACCAACCCGCAACCCGTCCTCGGACCAAGTCCATTCCATCCAGCGGTTGACCACAAAGACGCATTCATCAATTTTAACATGCTGTTCATTCAAAACAGGAATATTCAAAACAGGAATTTTATCAAATATAAATGTATATTATTTTATATTAGCATATTGTACATATTTAGGCACTGGTTAGGTTAGGTGTTTAGGTTCTGTTGGCGATTATTTGTATTTGTAGTACGTGGGCAACCCGTTCTCACACCAGTCTGTTTAAAGCAGAGGCCGTCCTCCCCAGACGCATTCATCAGTTTTAACATACTGTGTTCTAAAAATTGATTTGTTCTCATATATAAATTAATATTTTTATACATAAAAGTTATATGTATAGTTTGGCGTAGGTTAGGTTAGGTGTTTAGGTTCTGTTAGTAATTATTTATATTTATAAGTTTGTGGGTGAAGCATTTATAGAATTGTGGTTCGAACGGAGGACATGAGCGAAGCACTTGATCTGGAAGTGTTCGGACGTCATCAGTTGTGAGTCGTTTGTAAACCGCTTTTCATTCATAAACAGGGGGTTTGGCGGGTGCATGGAATCACTTTTGGATCTTTGTTTGGAGAATGGGTTGGATTCGGAAAGAGGTCTTAATCGAAGCACTGTTCGATAAATGTTCGAACATCACCAGTTGTGAGTCGTGTGTAAACGATTTTTCATTTATAAACAGAGTTTGGCGGCTGAATTAACCAACATTTGGCATTTGTTAATGAGAACGTGCTGGCTCATTGACCTGCACTCATTGCACCACCTAGTCCAGGGATACATCTCTCCTTCCTCATTATTGCTCCTGTTCGTCTCTCCCTTTGCCAGTAAACCAAGATCATTTTACAAATTTCAGAGTTATAAAGATGATCCACACACACAACCATGCAGAACAATTATTTCCTGCAAGAGATGGGGGAGGACTGAGCACGGGAGTGGTCTGCCTATAGGCTTCTTCCCGCATCCATCAATATTTGCCCTTTTCCCGCAATGTCCCAAAAAGCAGACGCATGTGTTGTGTGGATTTTCTTTAGTTTATTTTTTACCGAAGACGTGGCCATTCATTTATACAATGCTAACCAGCATATATACATTTTCATCTGTCCTTCATGGACAAGTTTAGAGATATGTTAGATCTTAGACAACATATTAAACTTGGCCCCGTAGCACAGTAGTCTACGTCCTCGGCTTACAACCTAGAGACCCGGGTTCAATCCCCGGATAGGACAAAAACGGTTGAGCACGTTTCCTTTCACCTGGTGCCTCTGTTCACCTAGCAGCTAATGCTCGTTGTTGGTGAGGGGGGGGGGGGAGAAAATCATTGCTTAGGCTATTGAGTTCTCACTGGGCCAACCATACTGAGCCTACCCAAGTTGCAACCCACAGCAGTTGCCTAACTCTTGGGTACCTATTTACTGCTAGGTGAACAGCGACATCAGGTGAAAGGAAACGTGGCCGGGAATTAGAAATCTGTTTTGGGTTGTATCATAGGAAAGGTCATCAGTTGGCCTAGAGAGACTTCGATAAACCTAAGCAATATTTTCTTGTATAAAATCGGCAGTGCAAATGCAGGGAGAAGGGACCTTTGACAAGCCATCGGCTTCCAGTCTTCGTCGAGGCCACTTGAGAGACAGTGGCCCTCAGGTAAATTCTGGTAAATAAGATTAAAACTAGCCGCCGGTGGCGGCAACAACAGAAGCAGCCATAGAGTGTGTTGTTGTTATAGATTCAGCTACTCGGAACAAGTTCCAAGCAGCACGGGCTATGGTGAGCCCGTACATAGAGTGTGGTGTGGCTGGGCGCTGGATAGCAACGTGGACGGCTGTTGCAACTCATTTCAATGCGTTCTGGATGCGGCCAGGGACGTGGTATTCCATATATACCAGCTAGGGTGGGGGGGGGATATATACTGATCCATGTATGGCTAACTCTGAGACTAGGCAACCTTATCAGCTCAGGGCAAATGGGGCCCAAACACTTGGGCTGGACGGTAGAGCAACGGTCTCGCTTCATGCAGGTCGGCGTTCAATCCCCGACTGTCCAAGTGGTTATGCACCATTGTTGTTTTAGATTTAGCTACTGGGAACAAAAAGTTGCAAGTAGCACGGGCTTTGGTGAGCCCGTAGTGGACTTGCCTGGCACAGGAGCGGGGCTGTAACTCATGAATAGTTTCACTGGATTATTCATTCCATTGCAGGCCAGGAGTCACAATAACGAGGGTGAAAAATATTGACCAAACCATGCACACACTACAAAGTGAAGGGACGACGACGTTTCGGTTAGTCTTGGACCATTCTCAAGTCACAATCTACTTGAGAATGGTCCAGGACGGACCGAAACGTCGTCGTCCCTTCACTTTCTAGTGTGTGTGTGGTGTGGTTAACACTGTTCATTCCATTCTTTCCATTAGGGCACAATTCCTTCCCCCCCCCCACCACCCACCACCCAATCTGAATCTCTGCACCTATTTTCATTTTCAAATTACGACTTTTTATACCGAAAATATGCCAATTACTGAAAACGTTGATGGGTCATATTTTGCCCAAACCCCCCTGCGATTTTCAAAATATCTAAAATGTCGGAAATTTGACTCCTAAGCGTGATTTTTGAGCCGAATTCTGACTCTCTGCACCTATTTTCATTTTCAAATTACGACTTTTTATACCGAAAATATTCCAATTATTGAAAACGGCGATGGGTCATATTTTGCCCAAACCTCCCTGCAGTTTTCAAAATATCTGAAATGTCCGAAATTTGACTCTTGAGCGTGATTTTTGAGCCGAATTCTGACTCTGCATCTATTTTCATTTTCAAATTACGACTTTTTATACCGAAAATATGCCAATTACTGAAAACGGCGATGGGTCATATTTTGCCCAAACCCCCCTGCAGTTTTCAAAATATCTGAAATGTCGGAAATTTGACTCCTGAGCGTGATTTTTGAGCCGAATTCTGACTCTCTGCACCTATTTTCATTTTCAAATTACGACTTTTTATACCGAAAATATGCCAATTACTGAAAACGGCGATGGGTCATATTTTGCCCAAACCCCCCTGCAGTTTTCAAAATATCTGAAATGTCCGAAATTTGACTCCTGAGCGTGATTTTTGAGCCGAATTCTGACTCTCTGCACCTTTGTCTGACTCAACAAACCGCCGACTTTCTGTCCTCGTCGAGGCCATTAGAGAGATAATGGCCCTCAGGTAAATTCAGGTAAATAAAATAAAATATATGTCTTGTATCCACTTGAATTGCAGGTGAAATCCGGATTGGGAAGTCGAACGCTTCCCCAGTGTTTGTTGTGATGGAGGTCTTGACGGGCATGTGTTAGAAATATACTCAGAAGTATAATTTTGTCCGGATATTTCTGTGATATGGTTGACCGTAATGAAAGTCGGGTAAGCTAAGAGATGAGACGTCATTTTGATAGGCATATGTTTCCTTCATAAATGTTACACAAGACATTGCTCCAAAACTACAAGCTGATACAACAATAATTTTCTCAATACTAAACTCAAGTTTTTGTTCAGCAGTGACGAGTTATTGTAAAAAAAATAATAATACTTTACAGTAATACTTAAAAATGCCCCCCCTTGCCCTCCAGAGAACTTTGACAACCTTTGTGCTTCTGTATTATCCTTTATTCTCTATTATAATTGGATTGGATAAGAGGTATTTGAGTTAGAGGAGTGTTGCTACCTTTGAAACTTAACTTATTTTCTGTACCTATTGCTGTATGATACATTTTCAATATTATGGCAGGGTGAAGAGAAACGGTGTGCACAAGTGGCGGTGGAAAGTGTTATAACATGGGGTGAAGCAGCAGGGGTGGCAGACTTGTCCCAAGACATGGCACGGGCCATTGCTGCAGATGTAACTTACAGATTACGACAGACATTGAATGTAAGTTACACAAAAATAGTGTTACCTTTAATTTTAAAGTGATTTTCATTTGCAGTATAATAGCTCTGTTTATGAATTTTTTTGTCTAATGATAAGTAATAATATGCTTAAAATTTAATCACTGCTGTTTTTCTCATTGGGTAATCAACTCATTAGAAATTCTTTTGTGTAAGGAAAGCAAAATGTCTCATAAGAGTAATTTCTTCTAATTTTGAAGATTAGATATAGGACTTCATTCAAATTTTTTTTAATGGTTGTAGGATTTTCAAGGAATTGATTTGTTAAAGCTTGGAGATGCAGTATTTGGTTATTTTATGAGTTTACAGCCAAATTTACAAATTAGTTATTATATACAAATCTCCATTTTGCTGTTGTAAAAGTATTGATAAATTGCAGGAGATTGTTTAATGATGTGCATCTCTGAACTTATATTGTTACTATAATAAATTAGGTGTGTGGCCAGTTTCTGAGACATTGTAAACGGCGTCGGCTCACCCCAGATGATATAAATCGTGCCTTGAAATGGATGGATGTCACTTCTGTGATGGGGTATGTATTGGTACTGTATATACATCTGTTGGTCATGTTTGCATTTAATTCCTAGTGTTATATTATTACTATGTTAGGTATCCTTTGTGTGGATATCTTATAGTTTTCACTTTCAGTATACTGTATATTTATTTTCCCTGAGATTTGGTATTTCTATTCAATATCTGGAAAACACTCTTGGATGTTGAATTGAAACTTTGATGATCTACGTATGATAGTGCAAGAAATGTCTTTTTTTATTATTGGGCATATATTCTGCTAGTGGCAGATTACATCCTAGGAAGGATCAGTACTGTAGTGCAACCTTGGGGGAAGGGGGGGGGGGGGACGTCAATACAAGTGTAAAGTATATGTATATATATATATACATATACTTTACATAAGTATATGTATATATATTGTATATGTAAAGTATATATCTCTATATATATATATATATATATATATATATATATATATATATATATATATATATATATATATATATATATATATATATATATATATATATATATATATATATGTCGTACCTAGTAGCCAGAACGCACTTTTTAGCCTACTATGCAAGGCCCGATTTGCCTAATAAGCCAAGTTTTCCTGAAATAATATATTTTCTCTAATTTTTTTCTTATGAAATGATAAAGCTACCCATTTCATTATGTATGAGGTCAATTTTTTTTTATTGGAGTTAAAATTAACATAGATATATGACCAAACCTAACCAACCCTACCTAACCTAACCTAACCTAACCTATCTTTATAGGTTAGGTTAGGTTAGGTAGCCGAAAAAGTTAGGTTAGGTTAGGTTAGGAAGGTTAGGTAGTCGAAAAACAATTAATTCATGAAAACTTGGCTTATTAGGCAAATCGGGCCTTGCATAGTAGGCTGAGAAGTGCGTTCTGGCTACTAGGTACGACATATATATATATATATATATATATATATATATATATATATATATATATATATATTTATATTTATATTTATATTTCATAGTCATTAGTCATAATATGCAAGCTTCCTGTCCCTGACAAAACTAATTAAATGAATTTATTAAATACTGTTAGCAATAGAAAGCTTTTACATAATTTTTTCTGCATCTTTGTATTCTATGTTTGTTTGCTTAGGTGTGTTTTGTGTTTATATTGAAATGAAGATTTGGTAATAACTATTCTAATAGCAAGTTACATCTACAGATACACAGGTAGTGAGCCAGTTGAGTGGCAAGGAATACCAGAGGTTGGTGTTCATATTGCTCATGATCCCACAGTCAATCTTGCCAGCACAGCACTAAGTGGAGACATCTTTCACCAGCCGGGCAGCCCATGTGTTAGAGGTCAGATATAAAGTTTGCTGTTCCACACTGAAATGTATATACAGTACAGTAGTACTTTACTGTAATGATGTTAAAATAATTGCTACTAAATGTAAGTACAGTGAAGTTTTTTCAAATTAATTCAGGTTGATAATAAACTTTAGGAATACTACAGTACTCCTTTTTTCTCACTCACACACAACATGACACATGAGTTAGGATAAAAATTCACACTTGTGCATTTGTGAAATTTATGTAAAAAAATTACACCAAATCTTCACACTCTCCTGAGTGCTTTGTCAAGGTCTTGAGTATGTGGTTAGGACAAGACTTACTTCACAATGATTAATCGTTGTTGAGATGTCGTTTGATTAATCATTGTGATGTAATTGATATTTAAATTGAAATTAAAATAAGTTTATTGAGGTAAAATACATACAAAGGGATGAGGTAACTCAAGCTATTCTCATCCCATTCAGTATAACGTGTTCATACATATATAGACACATCACAAACAACAAACATATTGCCAAACATTCCGGGCTTTGAGATGTAAATTTTGTCATAACCACTCACTCAGACCTTAATAAAGAACTTAGGAGAGTGTGAAAGACTTGGTGTAATTTCTTTACATAAGTTTCACAAATATACAAGTGGGTTTTTATCCTGTTATTATGTCTGTGAGAAGACATTACCATTACTTATATGACACATGAGTATGCTGTAACTTAGAACATATATTGGGGTAACAGGAAGTCTATTAGCATGAATGATGAATTTCTTAACACACAAAACTGAGAGCACTGATAAGAGGCAAGAAATCAGATTGGAGGAATGTTACTAGTGGAACCCCACAAGGATTGCTTTTAGCAATAGTAATGTTCATTCACTCTCATCCTTGTCTTACCTTTCACTCTCAAGGTAAGCCAACTTTCACTTGTCTTACCTAAGATTTGATAAGCAGTGGACTGGCCTTCCTTCCCCAACCATGGAGTGTGATTACTTTGTCATTTGATAGCGGGTGGATAGTTGGTATGTGGCAGTTCAGTGCTTCATTAAGAATCAGAGAATATTGGCAACCTTCAACTCTGAAAGGTTTGCTCAGCAAGAGTTTTGAGGGATTTAAAAGGTTTCTCATTGATTTAATAAGCCATTTCCTTAATAGATTGTGGTATACTCTCTACTGAGCTCCTCACACTATTAATAGCTGGGATAAGACCTTTTGAAAAGATATTTGTCTCTCTGGGGTTAGTCACTCAGAACCTGGTGGATTGTGTATATTGTAACAAGTCCTGTATGTAATGTTAGAGTAGCTACTGAGATAGTGCTCGAAAAAGGGCATTTGATTTCACTCAACAATTATTGTTTTCCAGGTGAATGGGCATTCATCAGTGGTCACTCACTGGTGAAAGGGGAAGGGGGTGGAGAGTGTTTGCCTGCACTTCTACCACTCTCATCTGAACACCTTCAGTATTACCAAATGCTGTTCACAGTCATTGCTGGGCCATCTAATGATCTGTTTAAGGTGATTACCTATCTCAAGTATTATGGTAGGTTTGTATTCTTGTATGTGCATCTGTATACAGTTATCTTGTGATTTTTCTAGGTCCCCTCAGCAGACATCACTGGCTTGTGTAAGACAGTGACTATGTCTCTGACTGTTGTTGATCCTGTCCAGGGGCCATTAGATTAGATTAAGTAGGATAGCTCAACTTTACAAATTCAAAAATCAGTTTTTCTTTCCTCAGTCATTTGCACTCCAACTTGCCTCAAATCCATCCACATTCTTCTTCTTCTCTCAAAAAATTATTGACATGAAAACTATTATTTAATATTTCTAACAATTTTTAAAAAGTGAATAAAGACAGGATAATTGTGAGGAATCACAAAATCAGAGTATGATATGTGTGTGTTGCACTAAAACATTTTTATTACACAAACCTTGTGCACTGACTCCCATATGGGTCAACCAACCCATATACAGTTCGAATTTGTTTTATTTTAAAAGCAAATTCTCTTATCCAAATTTATATTCTCAGACTTTGCTGAGAGAGAGCAAGGGGGGGCTTACTACATCTGATGTAGGTGCCACAAATAACACTAAATTCCATAACTTCCAGCATCATCATGAAGGATTTTAATTGGACTAGATAGCATCTATAAAATTCTACTGTACTAATTGTTACAATAGCTCTCTGGGCTATAGAGGATTGCCTTTGCATGGCCTCACCCCTGAAGACACGCTCACTACAAAATAACTTACCGTATTTCGTAATTATTTTCAGATAATGTGTGAAGATGTATCAACATCTCCTGGAATAAGTGCTTTAGTGAGTCCTATTGTTGGAGGATTAGTAAGAGGTGCGCACCGTGCTCGGCAAAAACCATGCATTTTACGGAGAATCCTTTTATTGATAAGGGCTCTTCTTTTGAATCCTCACTTGCACCTTGGCCCTCAAAATTATGTAAGTATTATTTATGTTAACTCTAGTGACATACTGCTTCATTGTAAATAACCTATATGATAATGGCTCAGTAAAGTGATTATGAAATGGAATTGTTAAGTTTCTTAAATGTGATGAACTAAAGGATTGATAAACTACTATTTTCTTTTCAGATGCGAGACTTGGTTAATGTACTGGTATACTGCATTATCATTGAACGAAAGTCTCCACAGGATACTCAAATGATTCGTAGCTTGGCATGCAATGTCTTACTCCAGGTTTGTTACTAAATAATACGTGCTTAATAATTTTGTATAAAAATGTCATTAACAAATATTCTGGTATGTAATTAAGATGCCAGCTTGAGTGACCACTTATGACTTGTTACCTGGCTGAGCTGACTACTTATGACTTGTTACCTGGCTGACTATAATGTCAAATATAATTGCCATACTGCTTTTCCCTGTCTTGATGTTCACATGAATATCTAACCTGTCTTAAACATTAAATTCATCTTCTATTCTTCTATTTTACCTCTTGCTCTTACACCAACTCGTAAGTTTAAATACAGTATACAGTAACCCTAAAGTCTGACAGACTTAAGTTAACATATAAGGCATTTTTTCATATGTTGTTTTCCCCTTCCCCTTCTCTTCCCTCCCTCCAAGCATATCTGGAAAATTACATTGATCTAATATTTAATCAACGTTGATCTTATCAATATTTTATGTTATTCAAACATATTTTGTCAGGTTAACTCCTAAAATGAAATGTTTAGATAAATTTTTTAAAATTAATCCTCAAGGCAAAGTTGCTGGAAAAAATTAGGAATCAATATACAGTATATAGAGAGACAAAGGTAGTTGAAGGATAATTATATTAATAGTACTGTTTATATATTTGAAGATTGTATCAAGAGAACCAGGATGCCGAGGAACTTGGGAGACGGTTGTGAGCAGCCTCGGAGGAGTTGTGGCTAGTAGTAGTCATCCATGGGGTCAACATGTAGGGGCATTAATTGGACTCTTGACCCTGGGAGCACCTGCACTATTAAACAGTCTTACGCCCATTGCTCGACCCTACTATAATCGTTTGATGCATGCTATTTCTCAGTCACCTACAGCTAGTACCAGGGATATTCTTGATGCACATACATCAAATTGTTTTTTATTGGTAAGTACAGTATTTTAAAGTATGTTTTGTAGTACTGTATTTGATAAATTTCTCAAATTGTTTTAATTTTACATATTTTGAATATACAGTACAGTACTGTACTTACACATGTCTTAAGAATTGACATGAACTAACAATTTCATACAAGTAGCATCATTTTCAAAATTAACAACAGTTAAACTTATCTTGCATAATGTAACTATATCTTTCAGGCTGGACTGGTTAATGTTATGACCACATTTGTGAGAAGCCTTCCAGACAACATAGTGATGTTCTCGTCTTCTAAAGAGTCGTTTCCCATCTCTACTACCACAATCTTCCCTACTGGTATTTCTGATGGTGATGTAACATTTGAGCATATACAAGAGATTTATAAATTAGGAGAAGAATCATATGGTTCTGCCTTCATTCTCCAGATTCCTGGAGTGTATTTGTGTTGCACACCTAACCAGGTCCCAAGTTTTTTGCAATCTTCAGTCTACCGTGACCAGGCCATATCAGGAGATGCACTTCTCAATCCACCTGCTAAGCGTTCCAGAACCAAGCTCCATCATTCTTCAAACAAACCTAAACCAAGAAGAACTCAACTATATTCTCCATCTCAGGTTTTTGATGGGTACAAAGCTCTTTCTGAAAGGAGGTCATACTTACAAATGAACATTAGAGGTTGTTGGGAAAAAAGTGTAAATAAGCTTAAAAAGAGAGATTCTTCTCTCCCTACAGTTATTCCTCATGCGCACCGTCCACTGCTTGCCCGCTATTGTTCTCGCTTCACTGGCTGTATGCCTCACAACACTTTCACAAGACCATTATTTTCCCCTTTAAGGCCTGGATATACGTTACAATATCTTTTGCTTTGAAATTGTGTAATGTAAGCATAGGCTTAATTTCATAAATTATATTAATTGCAATTTAAAGGTAGATGAAATATTTACAGCAGTTGCGTGAATGACAAAATTGACTAAAGAGGGATATTTTGTAATATATATGACATTTCACTATAAATTGCAACTCTGCTTTCCTGGATTCTTATTGATTAGATTTGTACTTAGTCAAGCAGGAATAAAATCTGGATACATAAATCATTTACTGTACAGTATTCAGATGAAAGACAGGGATTTTCATACATGACTGGTTAGGGTTTTTATTTGACAATTAGTTCTTGTCTGATTAGATTATCAAACCAGTGATGTATATACAAAATTAGAGCAGAAAGATATATGATGCCAAAAGAAGCAATCGCAGAAGGACAACTGCCTCAAGAAACAAAACTAACGGGTGTTAAGACTCCAGGGGCCAGATTCTCAAAACCGTTAAGCAAGCACTTACAAACCTGTACATCTTTTCTCAATCTTTGGCGGCTTTGTTTACAATTATTAAACAGTTAATGAACTTGGAAGCACCAAGAAGCTGTTTATAACGATAACAACAGTTGATTGGGAAGTTTTCATACTTGTAAACTGTTTAATAAATGTAACCAAAGCCGTCAAAGATTGAGGAAAGATGTACACGTTCGCAAGTACTGTACTTGCGTAACTGCTTCACGAATCTGGCCCCAGGCCCCGAGTCAGAGCTATACAGAATTTAACATGTACAGAATCCTATACGCATGCAATCCTTGTAGTTGAAGGCCGCAAAGCAACAAGCAAGCTTTTCAACAGGGCAGCAGTCAAACTGCAATACAAACATGAATGAGGGCTCTGGAGGGTCCAGGTGAAGTATCGAGGGCAAAGCGAATCTTATTGGTTTTGACATTAAATGTGGAAAAAATGAAAGGCTCCGCAAGCCTTTCATACCCCATACCCCAACTGGTATGAGGGTCATACCAGTTGATGCAAAGCATCAAAATGGCATGGTGTCAAAGGCAAAACTTACAAATATACAGGGCATACAGTATGTAGTTCAGTTTAGAAAGTAACGAGGAGTGCAAGTACAGTGTTAGTCTTAACAACTGACTACATGGTTGTAACTTAGCCAAGTAGCTACAAGTGCATTGAAAAATATTTTTATGATTAAAAATAGGTTTAAGTGCTGTACTTGAACACCTAATTCCCAAACTAGAAACTAGGAATACAGTATCAAATAAATTATAATTGGCTGTGCAGAACATATATATATATTTTTTGTATGGATACTGTCTTTCATGGGCATTATTATCCATCATGATAGGCAAGGCAGCATGCAACAAACTATTGAACTAGACTTAGGTATCCTAATCTCTTGTGAAAGTCACTACTTTAAAAAGCTAAGTTTGACAAAACATCTACAGACTTGGAGAGCTGAAAGCACCTAGCCGCTATATGAACAAATTCATCCTTGGGCTGACCCCAAGAACACGTTCATAAATTTTAATAATACTGTACCAGTTTTGAATACACGGTGTCATTATTATTATGTATTAGAATTTAGTGTATAGTTAACCTAAACACTTTGCCTAAATTAGGTTCTGTTGGCAATTATTTGTTTTTGTAGTACAGTACGTGGGTGAAGTACTGTTCAAGAAATGTTTGGAATGTCAACAGTTGCGAGTAAAATGTTTTTAATTTATAGAGTTTGGCAGCTGGATTAATGAGCATTTAACTATTATTTATTAGGATGGGCTGAAGCACTAGTATTAACAGTAATGATTGGAATAAAACCCAGAATTATATGTACAGACACCTTTAAGCATCCACTGCACAGTGTGACAGTCATTGCCATAGTTAGAGCTATTGTAACAATAGCATGTCCACAATTGGATTGTGGGCCATCCACAATCGACTTGAGAATGGTCCAGGGCGAACCGAAACGTCGTCATCCCTTCACTTTCTATTGTGTGGTTTGGCCAACATATTTCAGCCACGTTATTGACTCCTCGTCTGCATATTTGAAGATGTGTTCATAGTGTACCCGGTGTGCACTAGGGCAGGCTGGTATAGTTTATTTGTATCCCATGTATGACCAACCATCCTTTGAGATGGGGATCTTAGGTTTGAGTGTGGGTCAAGGGTTAGCTAGGTTCACCTCTCATATAGAATAGGGTAGCAGCACAAAGTTGTGTACCTGATCTTATTAATAAAAGTACAACTAACAACTTTCTTCCCTTTATTTACACATCCCATCCACACTTAGTATTCGATACAAATTAAATATAGGTACAGCACACTTTTTTAATGTCGGGAGCTGGAAATTTCCATCATGTAGCAAAATGCTTGCATTAATATCACCCTCCTTCAGGGCAAATGGCAGGTGTTGCCAATAGCTAGATCATGTTTATTTTGCTTTCTCAACCAAATACTGTAAATGTATTCATGCTAAGGGTGGCAGCAACCTTGCCACCCTCCCTTCATTGTTAATGCACGAGCAACCCGTCAACACAATTTTATCACATTAAGCAGCGAATATGAATAACCATTTCTTTATAGATTGCCTCAGTAGCTTTCATGTGCATTGGGCTCTAGTATCATACATTCACAAAACTACCAGGTCACTGGACTTGTACAGGCGTAATAAACACCAGAATCAGTCTGGTGTGGTCAGACAAGTGAGGCATGAGTATCAGAGTGGCCCAGAAAGTACAGGTAAAGCAAAAAATCTATTAGAAACTATAGAAAACCAACCAAATCCTCAGGCAGACCACTAATGCAGAGGAGCTACCATGAGCTCTGCCCAAAAAACTTGGAAAAAATAAACGAGTTTTGTAATACCAGGACTTGGAAAGTACGCTCGAAAATGTTTATCAGGAAAATACAGTAGTGTTGATCACTACATTTACATTACTCTTGGGACCAAATTAATATATCTAAACTATCGCAATAAGTGAAACATTGGGGGTGGAGGGATACCCAAAAGTACTCTGTTAAACCACATTTTACCCAGTGTGGAAATTGCCCAGTACAGTACATGTTAACCAGATAACCAAAGTTATATGCTGTATTCAGCCTTTTCCTCTTATATCATCCCTCAAATTGTCAGAAATGAATTTTCTGCAATTCTGTTTGGATTTATTTAATATGTCCATAAGATTAGTACTGTACTTTTTATTACAAGACAAATCTTACCTTTACGAGTTGATCCAGTTTACCTTCTGTCATTGTGGCAGAAAGTTTTAATATTGTCAATTTTTTTTGTAGGCTCATAAAAGTAGAAGGATGCTATTTCATTATGTGACAAACTAATCACTAACAGCATACTAAACAGTTTTAATACACCTTGTTTCAATTATGCAACATTCATCGTATATTTATTTTTGTATATTTATTCAAGAGTACAGTACTTACATTCTTGTAAGGCCACTAGCATGTATAGGGTTTCAGGTAGGTCCTTAACCCTAATTTTTCCCCAGAATACGATCCACCAAATCATTTAACAACCAGGTACCCATTCACTGCTGGGTGAACAGAGGCAGTGATTGGATTGGTAAAGGATTGGCGCCCAGTCAATCTTCTCTGGCCAGGATACGAATCCAGGCCAAAGAGCTCGCAAAGCGCCAGGCAAGTGTTTTACCACTGCGCCATGGGAACTAATGAGCAAGATTTCCTCTTTAAACACAAACTTGTGTCATAGTAATTAAGTAGTAAAATCAGGAATGGTACGTAGCACCACCAAATGCGGTCTAACCATAGGGCGCTAAATATCACTAAGGATGCCAATATGAGAACAGAAATGCATAAGGCAAACGATATCAAAAGTATCCTATACACCAAAAATTCTATCGAGGGGCAAGGGACAGTCGGAATGCAAGACACGCTCGTCCTGTGTGTCATATGGTGCCAACTTCTCAATTTATGCTCAGTGGGTGGAGCATAACAGGCTATGCTCACCAGTAATCTGCCACATGCCATGTGTTCCTAGCAATTTCTTTAGAAATTTATTGACATTTGCTGCTGCAAACCGAGGTATTGTATATGGAAGAGAGAAGGAAAAAAAAAAAAAAAAAAAAAAAAAAAAAAAAAAAAAAAAAAAGCATCAATGATTCTGTACGGCAGAACTCTCAACTTTAGTAACTGATGTTAAAATAGGTTGCATTTTGTGAGAATGCATTAGCTTTGGTTCACTTCAGTGAGGTGCATTTCTGAGTCTGCTGGCACAAGTGTTAAATTGAGAAAATTCCATTATATTAAGATTCCATCACTAGGCTGTAACATCTCAAGAGCAACAATGTTGGTTTTCTTTATTTTAAAATCTACTGATGTTAAATGAATTTATTAATTCCTTAATTAAAAAAATCAGATTTATACATAGCACTAATATGATTGAACAAAACTGAAAAATATTTTTTTTTTATGAAACCTTCATAGTTCCAATATCATTAATTAGGTAATTTAAGGTTACAACAAACCAATTTATCCCTACAAAACTAAAATTATTTATTGTACCTATTACAATAATTCCAGTGCACACAACCATAACACCAATATAAATATGGAATGTATTTGGATGAAAATTTCAAGATACGGTTAAAATACAAACACAAATCCAGCACCAGAAAAATTAAATCACAGATTTACACCATAGCGGGATTACTTCTATCAGGACTTATCGTAACACATCCACCTCTACATTATAACCTCCAGCAACTAGACAATAACTATTTCCAACAAATGTATTCAAAAAGGGAATTCCTTTACATATTTAACTAAGAAAGATTACCAATATCCATGAATCTCTAATGTTCACCAAATTCTGGAAACTTTCATCCACTGTTCTAATATTTTTACTTTTGTAACCTAAGACTAACAGTTTAAAAGAAAAAAAAGTCAATCAAGTAAAATAAAATTAACAAATTTAATTTATACTTTGTTCAAAAGACCACTAATTTTACCACAGTGAATAAATATATCTTATTAATTACATGTGAATCAGTAACTTATCAGTAATAAAAGTAATTACATTTTAAAGAGGCAAGAGATGCTTTCTCCAATTATAACACTGATTACCAAAACATGACCAGTAAGATGCATAATCATAGAAAAAAACAAAAATAATTTAAATGTGAAACATTCTTACATTACTCAGACAGGAATTGTCTTCACAGACAAAATAACACTTTGTCTAAAGCACTGACTGGAGGGATTTGAGTGCAGACCTAACCAACATGTGCAACATCAATAGATTCACCAGAACTAACTATTCAATAAAATAATATCAACACTTTAAAATACAATACCTGTATAGTACTAATATTGTATGCAAATCTAAAATCCATTTCCAATCTCTAAACTTAGGATTTATCCAGAGAAACTGTTGGCATTTACCGGGGTGATGCTTGGCAGCGCACGACATCAATGTTATCCAAGTTTAAACACCAAGTCTCATGTCCTCACTTGGAGGAAACTTTTAAAGACAAGGACATTAACAGAAAAATGAGCAATCATAAGATATATTAAAGACTAATTTTGAAGTTAAATAATAAATTATAATGTTAATCGCTGTTCACCAGGTTTCAAACGGGTGTTAGCTTCACGTTTCTCAGTTTTATTGTACAATGACAGGCTAATTCCAGCTCCAGCATACAGACCTTTAATGAACATTATGCATAATTTATAAGGAGTGAAACAATGTTTAACATGGACTTTCATAGTTTGACTCGACTGGATAACGGTAGAGATCTATATTGTCTTATTTCTTAAATTATCTGGTAATTTGAAACTACCCCAAAGAATTTCTTTCATTAACATAGGAAACATTACTAAAAATATTCATAGTTACAAAACTAATGACAATTAAAATGACATAAAATTTTGCAGGAATTGTGGTCATGAATTAACGGTTCTGACAACGAATTGGTAGTATTCTGTTAAAAAAAATTAAGTTTTCCAGGTAATGTATCAATAAAATGAAGCAATTAAAATTACTAAAAATCAAACCAAATATCCTAAAATATAATTCATCAATATCTGGATGTTATCCAGTAATGTATCCTGCTCTACTAATTATTAAAAAAAAAACTACAATGTTAGTGAAAGTTTGAGGCATTAGGTAATTACTTTAATATACAAAATTCCTAAACTTTTTATTGCAAATATAGTACCGATTGGTGAATTTTTTAATTTCAAATATAAAAATAGAAAACCTTAATTATGAACAGTATCCAGTTAAAATCAGGAAGTACATGATTCAACGCACGGTGCCTAGAATGTGCAATATTGTAGTCCGGTTTACTTTATGGCGTTCTTTATCTTGTGTAATATGTATGCTCTAATAACAGGGAACAGACAATATACATTAGGGATAGCTTTGTCCTACAAGACAAGGATCCATAACACGAAAAACCTTCCCCCGAAAAAAGCCAAATTCATAAATATAATTTAGGAAGCATAGTGTTCTGGCATGACGTAGGAGATATCATCCCATGGGTGACGGTACAGACCTTGCTTCAGACGCTTCTGATCCAAGTAATGACCTGTTGGGAAGAAATGACAAATTATCTCTTAACCTGCTTCTCTTAAATATAGATGTTGAAATTTCATACTACTGCAAAAGAAATGTGCTTAACTTAAAATATACAAGATGTCTGTATGGGAAAAGGGCATCGCTCAAAATTTAACTAATTAGGTGTTTTATGGGGATTTTAACATTTTAGGCAGTTTTGGGGCTACCACTAGGCAACAATAAAATGTTGCCACAATAGATGGCAGTACATACCAGTTTTTTTTTTTGTAGGACAGAGGACCTGATCAAACAAAAAAAAATGCTCTGGGCAACAGCATTTCCTTTTACACAGTGAACAAGTTAAGGCAGAACACAAGTCACAGTTTTACATTAAACTTACCAATGAAGCCCATCGATCGACCGAGAACAAACAGGCCATTGATGGTGCCAATATTAATGTATTCTTCGGCTTCTTCCCTGGAGAAAGAAAGTTTTCAGAGTATCAGCTGAATGTTTATTCATCAAGTACTATCACCACATCAAACTAACACACAGTACGTATATTAAACATACAAATACACATAATTGAAATATTAAACATACACACGTTCAAATATGCTGCACATATCTACGAGGGACAAACCCTAAAATGCAAGCAGGGGGACCAAAAAAGGGGCAGGGAGAAGAGTCAGTAATACTGGTGCTAATGATGATCTAGAATGAGACAGTCACCAAGATATACAGTAATATGAGGACCAATTCGACATTGGTGACTGCTGCATTATAAGATTTGGCTAATTAGTTGAGTTACAGGGGTTAAACTGGAGTCATGTAGTGTCTAGTCCAGTCCCCCCTCAAGGACTTGCCCTGGACCCATTCCTATTCTTAAACTATGTCAATAATACTGATATTAGTTTTGTATCCTTGTGCAAACATTAAGTACAAACTGAGAAGAAACTACAAGGTAGGAATGCTTTCACAAACTTCAGGAGTGGGCTGAGAAATAGCTGTTAGATTTCAACCTCAGCAAGTTCAAGGTAATGAAGATGCGAGAATGGGATGAAGGAAAGACCTGGGGCCAGATTCACGAAACAGCTACGCAAGTACTTACGAACCTGTACATATTTTCTCAATCTTTGGCAGCTTTGTTTACAATTATTAAACGGTTAATGAGCTCTGAAGCACCAGGAGACTGTTTATAACACTAACAGTTGATTGGGAAGTTTCATGCTTGTAAACCGTTTAATAAATGTAACCAAAGTCGTTAAAGACTGAGGGGAGATGTACACGTTCGTAAGTACTTGCGTGACTGCTTCGTGAATCTGGCCCCAGAAGGAAGCTGCACCATCAGAGTCTGGCAACTAGTGTTATCAGAACAAGATAAACTTTGGAGTAAAAATTATACCTGCACTAATAGTAAAAGTGAATCCAAGATAACCTCAGCAGAATATAGAAAACAGGAATGGCATTCAAACGCCTTTAAATTATTTCAAATGACTTTAAATTAAATTAATTTTTTTTAAATTAATTCAAATGACTTTAAATTATTTGCACAATAGTCGTCAGAGCGATCCTACAATGCACAGCCCCAGCATGGAACTGCATTCAGTGAAACATTGCAACAAGGACAGTGCTAAGCCTAAGAGGTCTCAGCTACAAAGTGTTAAGGAAACTTAATATAACGACTTCATTAAAGAAATAACAGGAAAAATGATCACTACATATAAAATATTTAAGAGAAATAGACAACGTGGATAGAGCGCCTTTTCAAACCAGAGTACAATAGAAAAACAGGACAAGGGTACATTTACAAGACATTTAGAATCACAAAAATGCAAACAAGCCAGAAAGGGTGATGAACAAATGGAATGCACCGAAGGTAGTGATGGCCATGCAAAACTTCAAGAGCAAATGCAATGTAAAAAAAATTAATTTAAAGCCATCACCTGCAAATAGTTAAGAGGCAGGGCCTAGAGAATTGGACCTCATATCCCATAGTAAATGTGTCTATACACACAAATACATGTACTGTATACTTTAACTCTTACAAATTAGCATAGTACATATTTAGTTTTACAATTTTACTTAGCATTTCTAGATACAATAAACAATGTATATTTATAATTAACATTACATAATTGCTGTAATGTTTCTCCACACAGATCTCAAATACAGCAAATCTGTGCTGAAAGCATGTTAATCGCAGCAATTTCTAGATACTGTACTACACATTTACTAATTCTAGATAATCAAGAGCAGCATTACAACAGCCAATGAACTTTTACAATACTTACAATGTGAAAGAGCCAGAGTTACGCAAGAGATCCACAAAAGCAACTCCAATTACACCATCTACATTAAGGATAAGATTTGGCTTTTTGCTTGTGGTAATCTTTTCAACCTCAAGTGCATAGTCTAGAAGAGTAGTAGATGGGAATTCTTTCTTCACAAAATTTTTTATGATTTCCACTCTTTTATCAGGATTGTTTATCTGGAAAGGTAAAGTATCTTATAATACAGTATTGTCAAAGGAGCCTAACCTCACACTTAAGAGTCAGTAACATGCAATATTACACAAACATAGCAGTAGATAAATGAATCTTATGATACTGCAATCAAACATGTCTACAACTCAATCTATGCAGATAGCTGCTCTTGTAAAGAGCACGTCTGCATAAAACAATGCTATAACTCGGAGCATTTACATCATTATTCAACAAAGATTTTGTAATAGCTAATTGCTAACTTATCCTTCAAATGCCTTAATATTCAAACACACTAAATACAATATTAGCACCTATAAATTACTCTCAAGGTACCACTAGTCCAAGTGTAAAATAAAACTACTAGCAAAGATTCTAAAGCAATTACCGACTTGACCCTATGGCCAATACCCATGATGAGTTGTCCTTTCTTACGCATATCATTGACAAACTCCATTGGTAGTAGACCTTTGTCAAATGCCTCACTGAACTGACGAGCTGCACCATCCAAAGCACCACCAAATCGGTCACCCTTAAAAGAATGTGAAATGTGTAGATATAAATATACAAGTTTGATATGTTCATTACAACACTAAATAGCACTTTAATAAATTCAATATCACAAATACATCTTAAATTATACAAAAATCAAAGTATGTTCCCATGATGCTTAAAATGTAAATATTCAATGGATAATTAATATACAGTATATTATGTATTTATTTTTGCATATCTTCAGAATAATCTGATGCAGCACTTACAATAGTTAGCAATCCAGATACCAATGAGGACACCAGATCTTTCCCAGCTCGAGTGCACACGATGGTGTTATGTGCACCAGAGACAGCGGGACCGTGGTCAGCAGTCACCATCAGACACATCTCCAGGAAAGTGGTTGCGTACTGAGGAAGACGCCGCTGGAACCAAAGCAGGGAGAGTGTCCCACCAATGCCAAGACCTATTAACAAAATGAAGCGACATTACTGAAATTTCATTTCACTTTAATACAAGAAGTTGACATTAAAGCTTTCATTCCAATTACTGCATATTTTGTATGGCTTTTTTTGGCACCCTCCAGTAACTTTATACCTACAGTATCATACATAGATTATTATAACTGCATTTCCAACTTTCACGGGTGAGGGAGGCATCGGCTCTAATATAGACGCAGTAAAGAGTAAAATTAGGTTATAGACATTAAAACAATATTATACATACAGTACTACACAGCAGAGATAAACAAAACACACACATACCAGTAATTATCTACAAGCACACTTACACTTTTCAATATGCCAGGTCAACAGTGCTCTGAATTTTCACACATTATATACTGTATTACACACACATTCACTTCTACCTTCCCTGCCTTGGCCCTTACAATATCTCATTCAGTATCCACCCTCATTACTATGGGAAATGGGTTCCAAAGGGCTGTCATAGCCAGGGGAATTGGTAATGGGGAATAAGGTCCCATGACCTATAAAATGCTCTCGTACGGCATGCGTCTCCAATAGCCTCTGTCAACCAAGTCCAACTCCTGGCCTGCACAGGTGGCTTAGTCAAAGTCCGGTGGAACTGCTTTTACTGACAGGAGAAAGGATGGGGGCGTGCCTCTGGCGCCTTAAAACCAGCTGCTCTGGGGTAGATGGGACTCTTTAGCCTGGGAAGGCAGCTCATCTAGGGGAAGGAAAACCCTGATTCTAAACCTCTGCTGCCTTGCGGCCATACCCCTCTTTTGGGAAAGGCTTCAGGAGTCAACCTCGAGGAAAAATCAGGAGTTGGAGCCCCTAAGGCAGTTCGTTGTCGACTTCAACCTCGCTCTGGCAGCTCCTGCGACGGTACTGGAACCATGTGTATTGGCATTTGCCTTTCCCTTGGATAATTTCAGCAACGTGGAGAGGGGAGGACCTGCTGCATGGGTAACGGCTTCTCCTCCATATTGACCTACCCAGGGTTTGCATCCTGGAGAGCAACCAGAGCGCAACTCCATAGTCTCCCGAGACTAAAAGATGCCTACTACTACTATCCACCCTCAATTCTTGCTTCCTTAAACATCTGCCATGTATGCCCAGCTTCCTACAGTACTTTTTCATCAGTACTGTATCATCTATTTGTCCAACATTGCCAAACCATCTTGGTATGCTCTGCTCATTCTTGCAGTTTCTTTAATATTGTACTTTACATCTGACATTCACATTTGTAACTATTTTAAAAAGAAAAAACTACCCTTTCCCTCTCCTATATTTGAAGGGAAAAGAGCATTTATACAATTTGGTAAATGAATTTTCCCACATTCCAAATACTGTACTAACCTTGCTCTAAGACGGCAGATATGGGCATGCCAGCATACAAGAGCTCTGTGCCTCGCTCATCACTGATAGACGTCATAAATGAGGCTGGTTTACGAATCAGACCAAGTTCCTGTTTGGGAGAAAACAATTATTTAACATAGTATTGAATAGCTGTGCAAGAATATATTTTTTTTTTTTAGAAAATCCACTTGGGCTGTGAGAGGACACGAACCTGCAATGAAGGCATTGCCTGCCACATACTCTACCACTGTATCACCACTGACTTGTTACAAAACATGTTTCAGTTTTTCTCATTGATGTATATCACGTTAGTATGATTTTCTGTGTGTAAATTATTTTTTTTAATAATTAACTAAAACACCAACAATTCTTTCCATCACGTCCTTTTATCAGTAAAACAAATACCAATAAGCATTATGCAATTACTACATAGAAATGACAAAGTATCTAAATATACATTATGTAATGTGTATGTATTCATTTAACATTCAGATTTCTTATTTAAGATGTAACATTAAGCAGGTGCTACTGTTTCTTGTCATTATCATATTTAATGAAATAGTAACCCCAATGCTGTTACAGTACTACAATTGTATTTATATAGTTATAAGGGTATTGAACGAGCCCTTTAAGGGAAGTGAAACTGCAAGCTGTGATGTAACACGAGCTGTTCACTACATTGCCATGAATGCTCTAAAGTAGCAGTTCAGTGCTGACCGATCCCAACTGTTCAGTCCTGTTCATGTAAACAGCAAGACCTTGCCTAACCCTCAAATGGTGCAGCTATTTAAAAAATGCTACGAGGCGAGCATTTTTACAAATAATTAAACTATATATATATAAAAAAAATCACAACGGTTACAACACAGGAGGAAATCGCAAATAGCGAATGCAGCAGTGTAGGGGTTAACAAAGTAACCAAGTGGTGCAGCTTGGAAAAGGTAATACCCAAAGTGCACTACAATGATGGGCTGGCAATGAATAGACTAGTAAAACATTGAAAAAATACAATTTGTTATAACTCACTCTGGCCCAGTTGTAGTCCATTGGTACAGTTGGGGGTGGAACCTCTTCCTTAGGAACAATTATACCCTCCAGCAGCAGTTGCTGGTATACACTACCAATTTCCTGTAAAAATAGGAAATCAGCATGTTTTACACAAAGTGAATGTAAAATTTGCTGTTGTGCATACAGTACAGCATTGCATACATCTTGGGAAGACTAGTACAGTAATTTTATATATTTTCATACATTACAGTATCATTATTCTGTGCTGAACTTTATATTTTCTGGTTATGATTTATAATCTAATTACACTGCATCATTCTGGCAATCAGAAAATGGTTACAATGAATATTCCATTTGCATATGGAAAACTTTCTTAATTTTCTTGATCCAATATCAATAACAATGCAGCAAGAACCTAAAGACAAACTTAGATGCATGGTCAGAGACTGAACATGCAACATTCCTGCAAATGGCAGGAAATGTAGTGAACTGAGAATTACCCCAAATATGAAAATATTACTATAGATTAAGGAATATGCTTACTACTCCAAGTTCGTCAAAGCTGACTGGAACATGGGCACCACAATCAGCCAGAGCCTGGTTCTTTGCTATAGCAGTTTCACGCTCAGCATTAGCACATGCACCAGCATGACCAAACTGCACTTCAGATGAAAACATACCTGAAAAGTTTAGTTTTATTAGCACATTTATTTTTAAAGCACTTATAATGCAATGAACCGAGCACAAGTACGAAAGTGCTGGAATTTGCAAAAAGGCCTATTGGCCCATGCGAGTTAGCTAATTTTTATACCTAGCCCATCTAATTTGTACAGATGCTATGCTCTAAACCACGTAGCAATTCCACCAGTGCGTGTTGCTGTACGTGTTCCAAATAAATAATGAACACTTTGCAAAATACAGTACTATTTACCAAACTCTTTACACAAGCGACAAAGTAAGGCATATACATGCTGATCCACACACTTGCTGGTAACCCAAACTGCATGCAGTCCACTTAATCTGGTTTTGGTTGTGGAGACTAAGGATATACCAAACGTTGTACTAAATAATTGACATACAGCATTTAAAATAAACACAGTACTGTAATTCCAAGCTTACCAGCACACGTTCCAATGCACCAAGCGACAATTGGTTTGACAATACGTTTCTCCTTTAGTGCCTGGCACACCTCATATTCTTCAATACCTCCCACTTCGCCAAGAAGAACAAGCATCTTAACCTGTCAAATAGTAAAATAAATAAATACTTTATATTTATGTCCTTAACATGGATTATTCCAATAATTAGTGATGTGTATATATAACAATCTGGCAATATAATTTAGTATTAAAGTACAGTATCATGTACTTCTACTTACCTCAGGGTTGTCATGATACCGAAGAAGATGATCCATGAAGGTAGTGCCAGGATAACGGTCACCTCCAATAGCCACACCTTCATACACACCATCAGTGTTATGAGAGATGATATTGTTGAGCTCATTAGACATGCCACCAGAGCGCGAGACGTAAGCAACACTGCAAACGATACAGTATCGAGTAGTAAGCAATGGACTTGAGCATTATACATTAACTAGTTATAGTTGGCTTGCATTAATGTAAATTATGTTGCCAATCAGCACATGCTCCCCTCCAATCTTTCCCATTGGAATGTCTCTTGGAAGAAATGATTGTAGTACAATTGTTAACACTTCAGCATTCTGATAAGATGTGTCTTCTGATAGTGAAATTCACCTTGAGCAACCACTATCATGAAAATCAGTAATTGCTCTACTTATGCACATTTTCTCAATGCTTTCCAAATTTCCTGATGAAAACGTAAGAGTTATCCTTATTTTTTTTACCAGCTATACAGACAATGTGTGTGCACATTTACATTTGTTAATTTACATTGAAAAATAAATGAGGAATATTGATATATTCATATGCATTTGTATATTCAGTAACATGAAATCTATCATCACACACTGTTTTCCCTTTATAAGGATATATTACTAGCAGATATATCAACAAAATGTTGCATATACTATATCAGCTATATCAATGTTGTAGGTTGCATCCTAAGAAAGGAGGCCATGAGACTGAAAACGTACACAATACAGTACGTGACATTACTTAGTACAGTACCTAATAATCCCCACACTGCAATACAAACCTTCCTGGTCGGTAGAGTTTTGAGTGAAGAATATTATCCATCATGCCTCCAGTATTTCCAATCTTGAAACACCCTGGCTTTACCCCGCCCACTGTTGCTGGTCCAATGATGGACACTCCCTTCTCATTAGCTTTCTTGATCAGGATTCGAGTTAAGTTCTCTGGTATGCCTTCAGCAATGATGGCAATTGTGCGAATCTTCAATACAAGAAAGAAATTCAAATTACAAATTACTCGCCAAAAATTAAAACATCTTGTACACCAAAAACACTGCCAAACGATATAGTAAAACTATTTACAGCAGTAGTTGCCCGTTCACCTTAGGCTGGTCGCTACATTGACTGCCTAGCTTCTTGCAAGGTCATTTTAAGACTGATGGTCAAAGTGGTTGAGTACGGTTCCTTCAATTCAATCTCATACCCCAGCATTTCTGGCCTCATATCCATTATAAACACTAGTTTTGTTAACTTACAATTTTTTAACTCTTAATTAACTTTCATAGAACAATTAAATATATTGGTACATTTTACTAAAAATATTCTTTAAAATTGATCAAGATTCAATTTATTCAAATGCCACATTCACTACAATAATTGAATACAGTACTATCCTAAAACATTAACCTACTTTGTGAACTATTGTCCTACAATTATAATCAACCTCACTCAAATACAAGCTCATTATTATTCAACTGATGGCTTTTATTACTCATTAATTTCCCAATATTCATTGCAACACCATATGTTTTGTTGCCACCCAAGAAATGATAATTTTGTGGAAGGGGAATTCTAAGCATGGCCCCCCTCAGTGGTTCCAAAAGCCAGTTGCCAGGGGCACTTCTCAGGAAAATTAACAATTTGAATGGTACAAGTGTAGTTAAAACAAATGTATGGGCGATTTTAACTTTGAATTTCGAGATGTAACATCATGTTCTTGTCAATACCTATCATATATATGCTTTAAATTAAGATTTTGCTTAATATACAATTCTATATGCAGTAATAGAACATGGAAAAAAAGTCAATGTAAATAGACAATGTTTACAATTTATTTATGTGGGGGCGTGAGAAAGGCATTCTTAACATTTGCTTCGTTACAACTTGGGACGACATTTGCTTCCATCACCAATACACAGCAGCACAAACTAGGTCCAAATTCCTTATTGAAGGATAGATAAAGGTCTACTCAAATATTACAGGATATGGAAATTATCTTCCAAGGCATCTATGATTTTGATTTTTGTAGGGAATAACTATATTAGTCAGCACTGTATGACTATTCCAACTATGCCAGTGACAGGATTATCCATCACTTGTTTATTTTCCTGTCGTCACTTACCTGTGGGTAAGCCAGAGTTTCAATGGTGGAGTCATATGCAGAACGTAAAGATGCAAAATTTATGAGAACATCGGCATCTGAGTGTTTTTTCATAGCATCTGTCATACTCTTGTATACTGTAACAAGACAACCACAATTCAGAAATGTTATTTAGAAAAATATTAGTGAGTATACACTAGGGTAACCACTATAAAATTGAAGCTACTGTTCAATTCCACACCAGTATAAATTCAAATAAGAAATCCTTATAAATTTCTTACAAATGTACTCTGCATATTAATTGGAACATTATAGGGATAATATTGCAATTGCTTAAAAGTAGAACACAATACAAGAGCACGGGTGAAAGTCGCATAGTCACAAAGTATTTCTTTGACTATGCAAGAATGCCTAGACATGGGCTAAAATTAAGCTCTTCTTAAAGGCCATTTACCACAGTAGCAAACAGTGGGGTTGCCACATTGCTACGCAACCTGTAACCTAAAATGTGATGCGAGTTGCATGACTAGTCCTGTTTCAAAGTAATTCAACAAATAAATGCCACATCAGATTTCTAACACACAAGTGAAGAAGCAACCTTAAGAAGATGAAAATTTGTTGGTGCAATGCCAAACTTGAACTGAGAAGACTGGAGAGTTATTGATGTGTGCATGCACAGAGTTCTTAAGAACTTAATAAAATAAACTGCACAAGGCCTATTGCCCCAACAAAAATTATTCATGTGATGCATAACTAATTATGCTTAAAACAGACCAGCGATTCCATATCTTTTGTTACCCTCTAATTTGACCCATAAATCAATACAGGCATAATCCTATTTCCAAACCAGCATTTACCCAGGTCATTTCCCAAATTTACTTGTAAAATTGTTTTCCATTGTTTTGCGATTTATTTTGGTTTGATATACTGTATTTCACACCTTTGTCATATCTCCTGTGTGTTATACTCTCATCGATTTGCACACTGTACTTCAATCACGTGACCCCTTTACATGACCCCGATCATATGAACTTGCTTTATTAATTGTATTTAAAACTAAAATGTGATTTATGCAAGAAACTCTCAATTTTGACAATAACCCTTTGAGAATTTTACACAAGATTATGTATCAAAATGGTATTGCGAGTAGAATACACACACATTATAGTTATATTGAATGATAACATATATATTATGCTACCATCAGGAAAATACCCTAAACCTCTTTCAAAAAGCTGCAAAATACATGATCCAACTTTAAAGTATACAGACCTGGCACAAGTATTTCTTTGTGACCCCAGTAGAACTTCTGCTTATGGTCACCAGTAAAGGGGTACACCATGGCTGCTACTGATGGCTCAGGGCGTGAACACACAAAGTCAAAGTCCAACATGCCCTGAAAGAGAGTATGCAAATTGTATGTACAAGGAAATGGAGAGCAATGATTTAATAAATGAGTTTGCATCTCAAAATCTTCAGAAGGCAGCCCCATCAGGTCATGTAACCTACTTTTTAAACTGATAAATTCATATTAGATCACTTCTGACAACAAATGATCTTGAGGTTATCTTGAGATAGATCTCTTGTATTTGAATTTTACTATTTGCTATTTTAGATTTTTTTTTATTAGCTTAAACCAATAGACCACTTTTAGTGCACATTTTGATACCCATATCACATTAAACAAGCATATTCTTAATACCCTGCATTATGTAAATTTGTGATGTTTCTTGCCAGCAATATTTGGTCCAATGAGTATGGATTTCCTCCACAGGGAAGTCTTTCATTACTGAATTTTCTGTTTAAACCGATTGTAATGACCACAATACCAAAACTGATTTCTTTCACTGCATCCAGCTCTCCAGCAGAGTTTTATTCAAAAGGGAGTTCACTGTATAGTGTTAATATTTACCCAATATGGCTCCAATCCTAACGTTAGTGCATAACTTAATAATTGGGGGACCCCAAGACTAAGTGTATGCTAATGGATTTTTTCTTTAACCGCAGTTGGTAAAGTTGAGAGTATTCTAAACTGGAAATTATAAATATACTGTAGTATAACAAAAATCTTACCTGAACAGCACGTGTCTGCATACCCCAGATGATGGCTTTTGTCCCACTATGGAATAGTTGAGTCGAATCTCTCTTCCCCGTCACTACTTTATTAATGGAGTCCATTTTACGTTCTGTTCGAGGGGATTGCTGTTGACATCACACAAGTTAGTAAGATGAATATTGACTAACCTTGTTTAAAAAACATTGGCTACAGATATAAATACTGTATTGTACAATGAGCAAATTAAAAAGTATTAGCTAATTTAATCAAAAATAGATTTGTCATCACTTACGTTCTCTTAAAATAGCTTAATTTGTGTGTGTGTGTGTGTGTGAGAGGTTTTAAAGAATTGAACAATATTGCTTTATAAAAATTATTTACTGGTAGTTCAACCTCATGGTGTCCGACCCCTTCCACAATACTATTTCTATGCTTTTTAACACACCTTGCTTAATACTGTGGTGCATTCCAGCAGTCAACAACTGAGAAGGATGGGCTTCCTCAGATCTTTTCATACATATATATTTAATAGCAATTATGTTTCCCATGTTTTGCTCTTGTAATCATATGATGATTACCACATTTCACTAGACATAACTGATTGCATTTTGAGGGTTACCTGTAATTACTTTTTGAGTTTGTGTGCTTAGTAGCCTACATTACATGTAGTGTAACAACTAACCCTAGAGAACAAGAACATTTGTACACACTGTGCTGGTGTATATAAATTTATACAGTACAATATATTCGATCTATTGGATTTAATATATAATTCTATACAGTACTGTATATCTATATATTGGACCCAATTTGTAAGTGGTGGATTCATTACAACCAATTATATATCAAATGTATAACTGATTGCAGTGAATCCACCACCAACAAATTGGGTCCAATCCCACAAAGTACGTTGAGAATCAAGGTTGCACTACATTATCTTGGTCTAGAAAGGATCTGATCACATTTATGTGTCAGTGTGAAAGTTTATGCCTATGTTAGTACAGTACCTTGATTTGATGAAATGCCCAAAACAAACCAGCCACCAAGCAAAAGACAAATACTATTCCCTTCAGAAACATGCACCATGCTAACAAATGAAATAATATCAATAAAAATTGTAAATTATTCAAACTACTGTAAAGTAAGTTAAAATGTTTGGGGCTGGTGTGAGCAACAAATCCCCCCCCAAGGGTACTGACGGAGCTAATTATTTATTAGAGCAACAAAATTGCCACAAATTTTGGAGGCACATGGAACTTTACACTGACATTCCTAAGCGTCACAGTGGACCTCCTGAACAAATGGTATAAATGTGCTATCCAACTTCTACTGTATTTACTTATTTTACAACTACATTATAAATTTCATGTCTACAAGACGAACAAATCTCCAGCAACTGTGCAATTTTAGAAGAGGGGTAAACATTGAATATTTACTAGGCTTGTACTGGTGAACTGTATCTACACAGACTACCATAATCCAACTCCTGAATTCATAAATGTCTCCATTAATATAATACTTATCCACCATCATTTATGTCTTCATTAATTCACTTTTCTTCCACTACTGATATCCAAAGATTGATTTAAGATGCTATCATCTTAGCCGTTTTTATGAATTTACTCCTGAATTTACAGTCATGAGTATAACACGTTAAGTACCAAGTACTAATAAGATTACTTGTAGCAAGTACTGCAATGTATATTGCCCTTATACTACTGGGAATGCTAGACTTAAATGTTACTTGTTAATTCAAATTGTAGCATATTAGTAACTAAATTCTTGACACTATCACTTTATATCTACATTCAATACACGTTTGCCAAACTCCAAAAAAGAAACGCTGCCAACTGGTGCATATGACCGATTTTTTTTTAATGTACATGCTTCATATGTGAACATTTACACAGTTCTCATTTAAACTTAGTTTTCTTAAGTAATTATCAAAAGAAGGCACCAAACCGGGAAGCCTATGTAGCACCATCTTCGTTTTCTTAAAACAGCATACAAAATAGTATGAAATTAAAACAGTTTTCTTAAAGCAGAGAAAAATACAAGCCTCGATCTTTCAAGTTGATGGTATAAACGGTTGTAAAGCATAAGTGAGAAACCTGTGAGCAAGTAAATTTCCTGCACAGGACAGTCGTCCCACAGAACACCAATACCACTTCACTCTAAGTAGCAGCAGCAAAGAATGTCACAGAGGCAGCCCAACTTAACAATACCGGACACCTGAGTGAGACGGGTAGCAGATCACAACTCCAGGTGATTTGGGCTGACACCTCAGGTGAATTGTGGGACAGGGATTGTTCACCCACTATATACTTTTTTTTTTTTTTTTTTTTACAGAATTCACCAAATTTAATTACTTTCTTTTGAACAATATTTTGTTTTGTCTAGATTTTCTGTTGATTTCCTCAGTTTTTGAGCCAATCTCTAATCCTTGTATTTGCCTCATTATGTTAAGCGAGCCAGATTCTGGTTCGAAGGCCTGCACAAGGCATGGGGGCCTGGTATGATCTGAAGGCATAGAAGTATGAGAGATTAAACTTGGAAGAGCAATCAAGGTGCCAGCCAAGACAAGGTAATGAATTTACATAAAGAAATAAGTAAGAAGAAAATTCTATAAATTAAAATTTTGAAAACTGTTCCCAATTTGACACTAGAACCCTATCGATTTAATATTCAAGAGAAATTTTCAGATCAATTCTCATTTCTCTCTTAAATCATTCCTCGCATAGTAATAAAATTTTTATGTTCACAGTAAGATACATGTACAAATACTGCACAATGCTGTACAAATGTAGAGTTGAAAAAATGTCAGTACATTGCACCAGTTAGCAAGCCATAAAAAAAGGGTTTAGATATTTGGTGAACCTGCAAGTATCACCTCATAGGGTTAGTGCTACAGCTGAACACTAATTGTGAGCTTTGTTAATACCACACAAAAATACCCATTTCTTGTGTGTAGGAAACATGTCCTTCAGATATGAGATCTCTGCAGGAGGACCCTATGAAAGGAACAAAACAATTAACAATTCTTATGTAATGATTTAAATACCGACTTTCTAATAATTACTTTTGGAATAAGAGAGCCTAACTTTGTTAGATCCTAACCAGAGGTCAGGAGGATCCTGCCTTATGGAACAATCTAGTTTGGAAAAAAGGGGCAAGGCATAAAAGTATTATTTAAAGGTGCAAGTCTCATTTATATACATGTACATACTAATGCACTGAATTTTAAAGTATGCTTGATATTTTGCTTGTAAATCAAGGCTTTATAAAAAATACAAATGCTGTACCTACATTAAGTATCTACTGCATTCTGATTATTTTTTATGGATTAATTATTATTATTTAGAATAAAAATCCACACTTGTGTATTTGTGAAATTTATGTAATGAATTTACACAAAGTCTTTTGCACTCTCTTCAGTGCTCTGTCAAGGTCTGAGTGTGTGATTAGGATGAGACGTCATCACAACAAGTGTGTGTTTTTATCCTATGTTATTATGTCTGAGAAGACATTACCATTACTAATTATTATTATTATTATTATTCATGATTGCTGCAGGGCAATGAGCAAAATATTATACATCATGGCAAAGACTGATTATCACTAGAAATTAGTTACTGTACTGTTAGTACACTGGTAAAGTTGCTGGTCATCAGCCACTTTAAAGTTGCCCACATTCAAAATGCCATTACAAATAGAGCATTATTATTATTATTTGATAAAATCTCTGGTTTAATTGGAAGATGAGATGTTATATATATAATGCCATACTCTCATATGTAGAGATAATACCTACTGAGATATTTACCAACATTTTTTGGGTAGCCATTTAGCCCAATTTTTTAATTATTGTCGTGATAGAAATGTATAGTAGTACCAACTACAGTAACAGCATTCTATTGGCACATACCACAAGTAGACCAAAGTAGTAAGCAGTTAAGGCACTCATGATCACTACAGTAGACCAACAAGTACAAAATAATAATAAAAAATATATTTGCAAAAATTCCTACATCTTTAAACAATGTTTTTGAAAATGAACACATCTTAGCATGCATCATTAACAATTTACACACAGATAAGCTAGGAATATTACTATAAATCAATTTGTACAAATTTCTGGAATATAACTTACTGCTGAATTTTGACCACCTGGAAGAAGGAAGTTAGCAGTATGACATTCCACAGTTTGTTCCTTTGGAATTGGTCTCTTTCCAAGAGCCATGGACACAATCGCCGTCATGTGCGTCTCATTTCCAAAAACATTAACGGGAATTCCTAATGTTTTCCCCACTTCACGCATAACACTGAAAAATAAGATTGTTTAATTATATTTAATATGCACTATACCTGTCTACTATTCTGTATGAGAAAATACATACATCCCACTTAGTTGTATGGTGAAACCATGCAGTCAAACCAACTCGACTCCCAACTTGTAGAGCAGATTGGTCGTACAACTCTATTAAACAAGTTTTTTCTTCTACAACTAATAATTTGTTATTTTGAATCACAGTAAAATTGCATTAATGCAATCTTCGATGACGTGACTTACCGAAGTCCTTCTTGGTAGTTTGGTCCAGCACGGCGAACAAAAATGCTGACTTTCCCATCAATTAACTTAGCCTGGAACTGTTGCAAGGCTCTTACAATGCCTTTAAATGTTGCCGCTACATTAGTAAAGTTAGCAATGCCGCCTCCTATTATGAGGACCTGTAGACAAAATAAACGATAATCAAAATACAAGTTACTGAACATTAAAAAGTGCCAAGCTTAATTGTAAGAATACAGTGCAGTATTGTACTTTATACTAAACATACATACAAAAACATTAATATTTTGGTTACACTAACAATGTCTTGTCAAAAAAAATTATTACTTTCCCTTATGTTTCAAGTTGTATCTATGTAATGATAAACAATACAGTGATGCCGCTTAAAAATTTGCATAAACCTGTACAATGTACAGGTGTACGAAAAAGGCAAATGGTTATTTAATTTCACTAACAATGAAAATACTGTTTAAAAACTTTAAAAAAAGAAAGTTTGAGACTAGACCTTTCCATCAGGGTGGTTTTCTTTTGTCATGAGAGTCAGAATGGTCTTGGCATACTCATAGGTCTGCTGCTCAGAAGGCGCTCCGGAGTATTCACCATAGTTGGCTAGTTCTGCAGCACCTCCTAGCTCACAAATAGTATCAGAATAAATAACTGAAGCTCCTCCACCGGCAACCATAGTCCAGATGCGACCTTTTTCATTCAAGATAGTTAACTGGAAAAACACAAGAACAAAAAAAAGCTAATCAGAATAAAGAGCAAAACAAAATTATACCAACAATGTTCCCCATAAACTAATGCAACACAATGGAGAATCAGGTGGAATAACAAAAAATTACTAGACTTGTTAAGAATATCTTACAGGAAGTCATGTTATATAATGGAAGTTAGCAATAGCCAAATAGGGTCCCACAAAGCTGGGTCCTTTAACATATCCTGTTCCTTACAAACATGAATAAACTATCTGAAAGGGGAAAATTTCACAATGATATTCATAGATGATGCAAAACTGATGAGAAGAATGATAGCTGAAGAAAAATGTACAGTATTAGAAGAGGATCTAAAATTACAAAATTGGTCAAAGCTATTTGAGTTCAAATCCCAACAGGGATAAAGTTAAAGATTTGGAGTGAGGTCAGGCCAGAATCACTACACAAGAGGAATGCTGCTACAAGTCAGAAAAAAATACGACCTGGGAGTTGTGGCAATGCTGGCATGTGTGTCAACAAGCAATATCAGCAGTAGAATGTTGTACAGTTTTGTATATGCAAAACAAGTAAGCTTAAGTGTGACATTAGTAACCTAGGCAAAGCGTCATCCAGATGATCACGAAAAGCTAAATGAGGCCAGCCAGTCCTAGAATATGCAGTATCAGCATGAATCAGCCTTTTTGAGACAAAAACAGATTTGCTACAAGACTTGTGCAGGAGACTGAAAAGTCAAGGTATGACCACAGGATAAATAAGAGGAACCTAACAGCACTAGAAGAAGGTCTAGAGGCAGTATTAAAAATATTGAGAGGAATACATGAGATCTATGAAGATAGTTTTTCCAGATAGATAAAGGCAAAATGAAGGCAAACGGTTGAAAAATAAACAAGTCAGAGACACTGAAATACTGTACTATTATTGTGTAAGGATGGTAAAGAAATAGTATTATTGTATTAATAGTATTAATAGTATATATATATTGACTCAGTGTCAATGACATGCATTTCCTGCAAATTATTGGAGAAGTTAATTAAAAATAGAATAGTGGAACATCTAAGAGAACTTTCTAAGGCACAATGCTATGGGAAATGCTGTACCATAAATAGGAATTACTATATAAAAGTTAGATATTTGTTATACGTATTCATCCCTATTAAATACCGCAGCTTTATTAAAAATGTAGACAATTTGTATTAATGCAAAGATCATCCATAATATTTAATCATCCATAACATGATCAAAAATCATCCATAACATAGTTAATCAAATATGAAAGCGCATGCAAGCAAATTTCATTTCTTGAACTTAAAGAGTGACATTAAGAAAGTCGAGTGCTGGTCATACCTTGAGGGAAGCTCCACTTTTAGAATCCAAGTCCGAAATAAAAGCTTCCTCAGGTAAAGCATCTCTGCCAAATGGAGGTGGATAATCTATCTCACCCCATTTTGCCTTACACATAAATTCTGCTGTGGCATCCAACTTAGCAGCTAAATCCAGGATGTAGACATTTTCCGAAGTAATGACGAGAGGATTGATTTCAAGGTATGTGAAGTACAGGTCAACGTAGAGATCATACAGGGCCTTGATAAAAGCAGCAGCTTTGCTGAAAGAAAAAATAATTTACAGTACTAGGAAAGTTAACAGTACAGTATTTAACTAAGTACAGGGTACAATATTTGCAAAAAATATGGCATTTCATGGTTGTAAACTTTATGTACAATAGACAAATACCTACTCTTTTTTAGAATCATTAACATGTATAAGAAGCTGCTCTTTAATTTGTGTTTCTGAAGGTCTCTCTTCAATTCCCAGCTCAAGCTTAAGAGCCTTGGAATCCACATCACCAATGTCCACACCTCCCTCGTGAGTGAAAAGTATAATGTCCCCATGACGGTGTGAGTAGATGCATACATAGGCCTCATCACTCTGATCATGAGGCAAAAATGGTTCAATGATGAAGTTGCGGAGCTTCCCCACAGTTTTGCCAACCTGAAAAAATAGAAGAAATATGTAATCATAAATGAATCTCACACCAATTCACTAACATGGTTAGCAAAGGTACGTAATGGAAATTAGCAACGACTAAATGTCTTAAGCCTTGCATCCTTAAGAAAAAAATTACAGTATAGTACTTCCTTCTAAAAGATCAGAGGCTCAACCCCCGCAAGCACAATTAGGCGAGTATAGCAGTTTACCATCTTCCAGGTACCAATTTACTGTTTGTGTGAATATAGGCATCAGGTGAAGGGAAATGTGCCCAACTATTTCTGTCCCATCCAGAGATCAGACCTGGGATTCCCGATTGTATTGAGAGCATGGACCACTGGACACCAAGACCTAAAAACTGCATACTATGAAATTGAGAGGCGGCGCCAGGGACAGGCAGGATGTAAGCAGGCGAGGTGGGAGGGGGAGGCGTGCAGGATGAAAGCAGGTGAGGTGGGGGGGGGGGAGGCGTGCAGGATGAAAGCAGGCGAGGTGGGGGGGGGGAGGCGTGCAGGATGAAAGCAGGCGAGGTGGGGGGCGTGAAGGATGAAGCAGGCGAGGTGGGGGGGGGGGGGCGATAATACAAACAGGAGAGATGGACGAGGAGAGGTATGAGGGGGTGTGGCCCAGAACTGGTTAATCAATACAGTATCACCTTGCCCCCACACTTTGGGTGGGCGTGGGAAGAGGGCGACGGATGGAAATTGGAAAACAGATAGTGTGGGAAGCTAGTGGGGTTTAAATTGGGCAAAGCGCGAAACTGGAAGAGGATTGGGACAAGGAGGAAGTGTTGGGGGGGGGGGCAGGAGCCAAGAGGGGAATGTGAATAGGGGAATGGGGTGAGGGGGGGGAGACGATAAAACGTGGAGGCGTGATATGGCGAAGTTAGAAAGAGCAGGTTGGCAGGCTATGTGACGTAGGTCGGAGGGCGGGGGGGGGGGTGGGTGTGTTAGGTGTGGAGGGCCATCGGAAAGTTGGGTGGGAAAGCAGAGTGGCTTGGCCGTGCGTGGTAGACTCCACCCAACAGAAGGTGGACGGGCGTGGCAGGGCGTGGTAGACTCCACCCAGCAGAAGGTGGACGGGCGTGGCCGGGCGTGGTAGACTCCACCCAGCAGGTGGTGGGAGGGCGCGGTGTGCCCAGAGAGGTAGGCAGGAGCGCGGGGGTGTTGAGGACAATCAATACCGGGTCAGGAGGACTGATTCTCCAAGGTAGGTTCAAGGTTACCATTCATGAAGATTGTATGAACAAGAGGAGGGAGGCAGAAGTGTCCCTCGGCGTGTAACTCGCCAGCAAGCCTTAACAATACCTCTTCCTAGACAGCAATATATTACAGGGGGAACCCAATCTATTCACCGCCAGCATCAGCCATACTATAGCGTGTTCCTCTTCAATCTCTCCCTGACGGCTGTTGTATTGATACCTAACGAGATATCTTAATATTGTTTTAAATCCTCCAAGACGTATGCTGATATTACAGTTATAATACTGTACAGCCAAGTCACTCACCAGGAGGGTGGTTTTATACAGAAAATCTAAGTGGAAGACCAGACCAGACCAACTGTGCCACAGGTACCAAACCTGAGGGAGGTTAACGGGAACGGTGACCTCTTTCCCCCACCCATACACCCACATCACCTACCTCCCTCCCTCCCGGACATCCACCCACCTCGCCTGGCTCCCTGTATCCCTCGCTTCCACATCGCCGCCTTCCCACATCCACCCACTGTCAAGTGTCACCCATTCTTTAAGGCCCCTCCCCCACAAGCGCTAAAAGGTAACGTCTGTGTCAGCTCTGAATTGCTTATATGCTCGATACTTAATTTTCCATAGATGCACAGGTTTTGTTGTAGTTATGAAGCCACTTGTACTATACAGTTGGTTATATACGCAGGATTCGCGTCAATGACACAATGGTAAGAATTGTCTGGTGAATCTGGTTAGCCCATTGTGTTAGGGTAATGCTCGCCACAGGCTTGCATTAATGTTTAAAGGGTCACTACAACATACATACACAGGCAAAAAGGCAAGAAAAACAAGGAAAATGCGAATATTAAAAGAGCAAAAATAGGAACATAACGGTAAAGTAGAGAAGATTGATAAAGTGGAGAAGATCAAGTGGCTCAGCTGAGCGAAAGTGGGCAAATACACAACTTAAGAGCGGGTGGTGGGGTTGACAACTTCCCCAGGCGACCAGCCACCCAAGTCTCTTAACTTCCAGCAATACATACGTGTTTAAATCTACAATTTCGATCTACTGTTTTGTGCATTATGCTGTATCCTGTATTTTAGTGAATACGAGGCTTGTCCCCACTACTATAAACCCTAGCTTGAATTACAATACTCCATTTGTCAATACAGGTGTTAATAACACACACACACGATAGTGCACTGCTCCCAGGAACCTTTATTAATCCTGCACCCCGTGACCCCAAACGTGAGCAAGAAACATTAATACGAGAATGATTTAAGCTTCTCACTCCTAACTGGTCACGCAGAAACGTTTCGTATCTTACCACGTTCAGCATACCTTTCATAGGCAACTGAACTATCACAACCGAGTACCCAAATGAGCCCCACACACACAACTTTTTCAGTGTCGTTAGTTAATAAATGACGTGCACTTGGAAGTGATTTGCTGGAGGCTGACTCCACAGTTTCAAATGATAGAGCTCAATGAACTCAATAACCTGTATAACATATTGACAGTTGCGAGGCGTGGCTAAAGAGCCGTAGCTCAACCCCCACAAGCACAACTAGACGGGTACACATCCAGCTTACCTTCACCAAGCCAGCCAGTACATCATTCAGCAACATGGTATAGGGTAATGGGAATCTTGCCCTTCTAACGGCAGTTACACTTAAGCAACTGCTTTCTCCGTTTATTATGTAAGGTAGCGAGTCCCAACTTCCTTTACTATGACGGAGCTTCGGAACCAATAATACCGATTTAAGTATTTCTTACTAATATTTAATGTGATATTTTGTTTGCTGTATTTTTCTCGCGGAACACCGGATACAAGACCTCTGGAGCGTTAAGTTTATGCTGCGGCTCTCATACTATTAGGGTAAACAGCTGGCTGAATGCTACGCAAACACAGCAGCACGTTCTCGCTCTCTGTCCAAGCACCACCTTTGATGGAGTGCTTGTCTAACCACAAGCCTCAGAAACTTGCCAACTCACAGTGTATGGAAGCCGTTACCCATTGGTTCCATATTATAGTGTTTTTAATATCAATAAAACAGAAGTTTAGACACTGGCCAAACACTCAAAATATCGACACTGACGACAAACTGAACAGAACTTGGACTACAATAACCTCTCAGTACATTAATTGAATACTTGAGAGCTTGTACAGGCTAGACGGCGAGACCCTTGAGGTTATCTTGAGGTGATTTCGGGGCTTTAGTGTCCCCGCGGCCCGGTCCTCGACCAGGCCTCCACCCCCAGGAAGCAGCCCGTGATAGCTGACTAACACCCAGGTACCTATTTTACTGCTAGGTAACAGGGGCATAGTGAAAGAAACTCTGCCCATAGTTTCTAGCCGGCGCACGGGATCGAACCCGGGACAGCAGGATCACAAGTCCAGTGTGCTGTCCGCTAGGCCGACCGGCTCCCTCCTCCTGACAGTAATCACAAATAACTGGCGCATTACACAACGTATATTACAGATTCTCTTGTATGAATACCATCTCTAAAGTGGAAATCAAACATAACTAATTTACTATGTAACATGCAACTGAACAAGACCTAGCTATCACTCTCTCGGTAAGGACTATATTGCTCCCAACACACAGGTGGGATAAACAAATGACACACTGAAGCAAGAAAGCAAATAATGGTCAAGATCAAGGCCCATATACATGGGACGCACAAGACGTCCAGCAGACAGTGTTGAATAATAAATGTCAGGATCAGGTTGAACTAACGTTACTTGCGCGCCACCTGCTTCCCATTTTCTTCTGCATAAAATAGTTTTCAATATTTAATGTTACAGGGTAATAGAAGAGCTACAGATTAGTGTGTGTTTGTAAACTTATACTTAGAAGATACAGGCAATATATCTACTCTAATAAGAGAAATATGGATACAGTAAGAATTTAAGATTTATAATTTGATTTGCAATTTCACACAACGCATGTTTACAGTTATCTATAAATGGCTCAATTTTTACACAGCACAAGACAATGATTTAATGTATGTCTGTCTGAACTGCCAGATATACTTGTACCCCAAGTCGTATTCAAGCTGCAAGTGACTAATCTTCCAATCCTGACCACTGCACGTGTAAACTCTCAGAGCAGGAATTGGGTCATACTCAATAACATTACATTATTGGATGTCTTGTGTCATTGGTCCATTTGGACCTGCCAGAGTGAGATGCATAGAACATTGCAAGGACTTTGTTCTTGTGTTCTTAAGAATATCCTCCTAATCCATCCAGAATATCGTAGTGCTGGCTAACACAGTATAAAACCCAATACGACAAACTATAGTGATAGGGCTACATCACACTCCGGCTATCGACAGACCTGAGCCATTCATATAGTTTAGGGTAAGGGCGTACATGCGGATGTACCCAAGTATGTTAACTATGCGAGGAGACGGCTCGCTTACCCACCACCACCGTGTAGTGTTGCCAGGTCCCTCATACTCATGTTAGAGAAATTACTCTTAATTCACACTGACAACCTGTTTATGTCCAGCCATAGAGCTTGCCTGCCCATGATTACCAGTGACGAAAATAAATACTGCAACTGCCATGAACGTGGCGGAACTAAGGGGAAAAAAAATCACAGAAGTACAGGTCAATGCAACGAGAGTTGCTACTTAGGGGGTACGCTAAACTTGCAACCACGAGCATGCCTCAAGTCTCTAGAGATATACACTATACAAAATACGAGTACTATCAGAAAATCCGTACGAGCAGTGTGCATGGGAACACCCACCGCATAGGTTCGAGCCCTCATCATTGCTACGGATTTTCTTATTAATATTATTATT